AAAACCCGTGAGGCCAGCAGGCATGGTTCAGTAACTAGCTAAATCTGTAGCCTCTAGTCTGATTTGGGGCTTTGTGGAACTTTGGGACTGCCACAATTGGAACACAATTTGCTTTTTTAGCATTAAATTTTCGAAGATGCTGGCCCCCTTCTCAGATCCATGATTATAATGGACTCTCAGAAATTAACATTTCATTGGAAAGATCTAATTTACTAGGCCCTCTGCTTGCTTTTGAGAACACAACCAAACCCTGTAATAGAAATACCTTAGTCTGTCCACTAAGAGAATGTTGTGGCCTGTTCAGGAGGTCATGAATGTAAGGAGGATGCAGAGTCCCAGGTGACCAGTTTATTAGAAAATCGCTCTGGGAGGGATTAGAGGATGTTTTAAGCTGCTTACAGTATTTTTAGGAATGAGGGTGAAAGATGCTATTTGCATGCAAAATAATCTCATCAAGGAATTTTTTTTTTTTTTAACATCACATTTATATAATGACATCTTGTAGCCAGCTGCTCTCACCCATCTGGCAACTTAAAGATTTCCTTTTAGTTTCTTTGATATAGAAATTACCTACCATTAGGTCTGCCACTGGGCCTATTTAATTGGTATTAAAAGAAAGCATCTCGTTTGCCAGATCTGCTGTGGTTTCTGGCGGAAGCTGTGAGTGACCAGCAAATCTGCTCCAGAGTTACTGAGAGAATGCAATTACCTTTCTGTGTTCTCCTGAGGCTTTAGGAACTCAACTTATGAAAAGGATAACTAGCTTGTTGCTATTTCATGTGTGAAATTTTAATGAATTACTGGCAGTCTAATGGTTTTCTTTCTTTTAAAAAAACCCCAAAAACCTATTTTAGAAATTTTAATAGCCCTAATGAGAATTTTTGATTAGTGTGTCATTCTCATCTGTTGCCGTTGATGGATTTCTGTTTTTTGTAGAGATGTTATTTACGCCCTCTGGGAGTTTTTATTTTATAATTAGAATGCTCTGTAAGCCTTACAGGTATGCTTCAGTGAATGCTCCTATGTAAACACAAATCTTTTTAGTCCTTAAAGGTAATTATATCTGACAATGGTAAATGCAGGATGCTTATTTAAAGAAGGGGAAGGTTTCCAGTGTGTGTGTGGGGGGAGGCCTTTCAGATGCTTTACAATATTATGAGCTCTTTTCCTATAGACAGCAGGTATAAGCCTCAGGGGCTAAACTAAGAGAAATCTGCTTTTAATGCAAAGAGGGAGACTAAAAATAGATGCTAATCTTCCTTTGGTGGTCTTTTTCTCCTTCTCCCACCATCAGAGTTCAGGGCATTATTTCTCTACAGTCTGTTTGCTGCTGTCTTCCTTGTTCGAATCAGTTATTCCATAATCACCATGTGGGGGCTTCTCCAGGGACTCGGTCCACTGCAGTGCAGGGAATATTCTCCATTAGCGTGGTGAGATTGCCATGGAGACAGATAAGCTAGTGTCAGGTCTTGCCTAGTGTTGGGGATTTACAGTCCCCGGACGTGTTTGTGAGCCGGACGGTGTAGTTACCAGGACGCTTCTGGAAGTCATTTTCTCAGCCCTTTGAAGGGCAGTGGTGTTGGAAAACCGGCTCTTGGTTCCTCTCTGGGCAGGAGATGTGCTGCTTTAGTTACTGCGTGTTGTGGCTTTGTTCTTCTCCGTTGAAATGGCTGCTGTAAAAAATAATCCTGACGGCCTGACCTTTAGAATATAAACTGAAAAGAACTGGTTGTTTAGATGTAGCTTTGTAGGAGACATGTTAATGCTTTGATTGAGAGAATTGTTCAAGAGAAACCACAAAGTCTGCTGTAGGTTTCAAATACTGTTTTAATAATAATAAAAATAAACCTGAAAGGGACTTGCATGGCTATACCATGTTTTATTTTTGGAACTGAGCTCCAGCCACAAAGTTATTGTGAAGATCTCAGAAACACAAATCACAGAATAAGTAAAAATAGTAATTTATGTGCCAAGCCTACAAAGTTGCAAATTTGTCAGGGAGAGGAGGGGATAAGAGATGGACTTTAAACAATATTGCCTTTTGTGCTTTTTACATATGCTATCTTCATTTATCTTTAGAACAACCCTGTGATAAAGGCATTGTTATTTCCTCTCCTTTACAGAAAGTAAACCAAGAGAGGAAGCAGGAGATGGGCTTGTGATTAATGAGACCTGTTTAAAGGTACAATGTGGCTTTAGCGTCCTGCCATAGCACTGGAGATGACGGAGTCTCTTGACTACTTTCACAGTGCCTTGTAGCAGCATTGGCTAGCTTGCTGGATTTCTGCCATCTGGGACAACCCTTCCACTTGGTGATGCTGTAATTCCTTAATGGGAGAAGAGGGCAGCTTTAGGGGAAGTCAGGCCTGTGACTTTGGTTAGAACAGGTCACTTGCTGCTAAGGTTATAGAAGTCTATCCCCAGCCCCTGCCCACTCAGCTGAATCAAAACACACACTGGGCAGCTCCTTAGCTCACCCTAGCCTCATGATACCGTTGCCTCTTTGGCCATTTGAAACCAAAGAACACAGGGAATATGTCTCTTCCAGATGTTTTTGTATCTTACCTCTTTACTTGGAGTGAGTTGGCCTGTGGATAATGTGACCATGTTCTGGTTGGTGTCTGGTCTAGTACAGCTAAGAATTTCATCTTTGTCATGCCTAAGCTGGAAGATTAAATTCATACTGTATTGGATTGCCCTGTTCCCAAATTTTAGAAGCTAGAGCTCAAAAATTAGAGATACTGTCACAATCCAAGAAGAGGAAGGATATTTACCAAAGTGTTAGTGGTGAATTTCTCTGGGGAAGGAACAGAATTAGAAGGGAGGGGTGAAGGAGGACTTTCAAGTTTTAGTTGTATATTCCACATTGCTTGAGTTGTTTATGTTAAGAATGTATCCTGAATTATTTGTGTGGTTAGAATATCTATCTATCTATCTATCTATCTATCTATCTATCTATCTATCTCCGTCTATCTATCTATCTCTATCTAATATGTTTAAGAAAAAAAAAAAAAAACACGATACTGCTTTTATAGCCCATGGATTTAGCAGACTGTAGAGAATATAGATCCTTTAATTGGATGAAATCCAGTCTGCACACTAAGGTTGTTGATGGATATTTTAAGCCAGGAATTGGAACTGAATGAAATATTGATTTGGTTCAGGTTCAGTTCAAAGGCTACTCTGATATTCTGGTTTTGTTTCAGGTCAATAATTTTAGAAAAAAGGCTTAAGTATAGCACAGTCTTGTTGGAAAAGGAAAAAGGGTTGGCTCAATTTTATATTCAGCAAAGTAATAGTTTATTCTACGTTTTGCTTCAAGTTGCTGCTTCAAATGGAACTGTGATACAAAAGTGAAAACATTGGGTGTTAATTTTACTTGACACGGAGGCCCCATGTCGTATTTTGTGGTTATTCAGTGAGATAATGGAGTCATAAGCAGCAGAACTAAACTATGACAGTGTTTTGTTTATATTGAGATAAATGTGTACAGCGTTCAGGTGGGTTCCTTGAAGCATGATATATATTGTTAATGAAGCCACAGATTGAGATCTCAGTTACTCTATTATTTATTTATTTATTTATTTATTTATTTTTTGAGACAAGGTCTCGCTCTTGGTGCCCAGGCTGGAGTGCAATGGCACTATGGCGGCTCACTGCAACCTTCGCCTCTCGGGTTCAAGCGATTCTTGTTCCTCAGCCTCCCAAATAGCTAGGATTACAGGTGTGCACCACCACGCCCAGCTAATTTTTGTATTTTTGTACAAATACTGAATTTTCTATTTTTACTAGAGATGGTATTTCGCCATGTTGGCCAGGCTGGTCTTGAATTCTGGCCTCAAGTTTTCTGCCCGTCTTGGCCTGAGCCACTGTGCCCTGCCTTCTGTCATTTATTTTTGAAAAACTCTCTGACTCAACGCAGTTTTCCTGGGGAAATTTTACAAAATGGATTTTGTGGGCTGAGAACTGGGGTGAGGCTTGGAATACTGCAGACACTCTGACTACTGACTGCAGCAAGATGATGGTAAACATTGTGATGGTGTTGATGGTAAACATTGTGATGGAAAAGTATGTTGGGTTTGGTTTTGCTTTCCAGGAAGATATTTGGGAGACTCAGTGGGGCCAGTAGTTTTCTTAGAATCCTTTTTATGCACTTTATGTCTTTGATGTTCTTGTTGGAGATAGCCACTGGCCAGCTTGTGAGCTGTACCTTTTCCATCAGTTTGATTGTCAAATTTGGCAATTCTTCCTTCGAAGGCCCCAACAAATGCTGCTCTGCAGACTGAGAAGTCGTAGGTAGGATCTCTGCAAGATAGTCTAGATTGGCTGCATTTCTTTCCTAAGACTACCTGATATCACAGTAGATTATTCTATTTGAACTTTCCAGCAGAGCCAATTAATTCTGGCTTCTGGGGGAGACAGTGGTATTGAAATGTGAGCTTTTGCAGCGCTAGTCTTGGATCCAGGGCTACCCTGTCTTCTGACCTCAGATTCAGAGATTCTTGAATTCAGAGGATTTGAGCCTTACAGTGTTCTATCGAACAATGCCAGTGTGTTTCTTTACTTGGCTGTTTCCATTAATGAAACAGTGACATAATTAATTCATAATTAGGATGCCTTAGAGGTCTGTTTCCTTTTTAATCAATCACTGGAGAGAATATGACTCTAGTAAAGCCCCAGGATATTCCTCAACTAAAGCAAAATGAATGTAAAGAATTCAGGCATCTCTGCATGTTGGAGTAGCTTGGAACCGGTTTACTTCAGGGATGCATCTTGAGAGGGGAGATTTTACACAGTTCTCTTTTTTCTTAGACTTGTTTTGGCCAATTCACTAAGATCTTTCTTATCAAATAGAAAGAACACAAACTGTAACCACACAACAACCCTTTATTGTGTCCTCTGTGTATTTTTCACCAGGACTGGTTATTTTTAGTACTCTTCCTGGAGGGTTTCATACTCAATTTCTTTAATCCCCAACTCTGCTCGGCTATGTTTTGCAGGAGAAGCTGTGCCTGAGGATGAACAGATCAGTGCCAAGGACCAGAAGAACCTGGAGCCTTGTGATAACACCCCCATCATAGACAATATTGCTCCTGTTGTTGCTGGCATCTCTACAGAGGAGAAAGAGAAGTATGATGAAGAGATCTCCAGTCTCTACAGACAACTGGATGACAAGGTCTGTGGCCAGAGATTTATAGCTCTTACTCCGCTACAAAGATGAAAGAGGGCGGTCCCAGCTCCCCGTGGAGCTGATGTAGGGCTACAGCCCGATCTTTATGTCTGGTTTTCTAATACCTACCCTAGCACTTTAATGGTGCAGACTCAGGGAGCTTGATTCATGTGGATTGGAAATGTTAAAGGGAACTTGACTGAAAGAGCAGTGTGTTGGCCTAGACAGACAGGCAGTTGTTACTTAGAGTCTTGTCTTCTAGAGATTGGACTGGGCTGATTACTGCATGAAAGGCGGGGTGTGTGTGAGTGTCTGTGATCTTTAAGTCTCCTTTCCTTTCTTCTCTTCACCTCTTGGAAACTCCAGCAGTAGCCTCAGCTAGGGGCAAGGGTGGTGACTCCCAAAATTCAAGCCTGTACTTTAATCATATAGCTATAAGGCTCTGGGATGAGAAACAGATAGTAGTGTGGTCTGATGGCTTTACCTAATTGGTGAAGCTCTTTTCACGGGTATATTCTTGAATGAAGTAGTTTGAACATGCTAATTAGGGATGTCCAATTTTATGACAAGCTTTTGGGACTCAAATAGTCATGTAAATGCACAAGTTGGCATAGAGGAAAAGAGGCGTTGGAGAACACTGGGAGAACCAATTAAAGGTTGGGTTAGGAATCCCAGAGGCATAAGAATTAAATTGATGTTTTATATGATCTTGGCATGTTGCCCTTGGAATATTCTAAATCCTTTCAGTTCACTTCATTTCATCAAGGTTGCTGATATTTTTAGTCTAATTTAATCTTTTCTATTGTGGTTCATCTCAGAGTGCTTAGGGACACCTCTGGCTTGTGTGAAACAGCTTTGTTATGTTAACATTGCCATTAATCTTACAGGCCTCTCTCTTTGGGGTAAAGCTCAGAGTCTGGTATAACCTTTGCAAGCCGAATGTGACTGGTTGCCTTAAGGAAGGTAGTTCTGCTTGTTTATGATTCCAAGAGCTTGCACTATAACCACAGCGTTATTCTGGGGTCATCCTACCCTTCTGAAAACACATTTAATAAAATATTCACACCCATGAGATGGGTTACTTGCCCTTTAGGCTCCAAGCATACCGTTATCTTCCATTTCTGTCTATGTATTTTATGCAAAGCTTCAAACAAAGAGAAAAAATAGATCAATAGTAAGTTAACAGTATATGCAATTTCTTGATTTCTCCAAGGAATTGCTATTGTTTAAACAGTAAAGAACATTAGACCATATGCATTTTTTTCTCATTTTAGAACCGATGGGCTTATTTTTAGTAATCGCAGAGAATCCTGGGTGAGAGGGTGAGAAGCTGTTTCTGTGCTCAGTTCTCTATGAATAGATGCCTGCATGGCGGAATCGGGATCATTTACCTCGGCAGCACAAGGAACTTTCATTGATCCGAGAGAGAGACTTTAGAGTCTCAAATCCAGCATACAAAATGTAGTGATTAGGACAGAGAGATGAAAATGCCATGTCCAAGGCATTCAGTTGGTAGCTGAAGAACTGGCTTGACAGTCTCTGTCTCCTGATGGTCAGCCTAGGCCATTTCGTTATGTCATTTTCCTACAGCATGTGCTTTGAAAATTCTGTAAGACCCACTGTTCGAGGCTAGTATTTGTGGTCCACCGCATAATGATGCTGAGAGATATGGGAGAGGACTGAGCCTAAAAACCTCAGCCTTAGGGGGCACCAGAGCTAATGGTTTGCCCTCAGTGACCCTTCCCATAGACTGCCTGATTATGTCTCACCAGCTGTCATTCTTAGGGGTCCTCCTCTGAAATGTTCTAGGAGGCACTTCCATGTTTCTGTTGACGTAGGTGGTTTGACACTTGAAGAATACATGAGGTGGGATATGGCCTCTTCTTAGTTTACTGAAAGGTAGAACAGGAGGTATTTAGGTCTGGGTGAGGCACTAGCCCAGGGTAGTTATGTGACTTACCCAAGGGTATGTCACACACAGGCAGCAGAGCTAGGATGAGGTTATATAAATCTTCTGACTCCCACCCAGTGCTCTTCCCATTTCACCCTCAGCCCTTTAAATGAGGACCTGGTCCACCTCAGTGAATCTATTTAGGGTGTGGAGGGAGAAAGACCACACGGTTTCCTCCCAGCTGCCCCTTCTGTCCCTCCGTGCTGCCCCACCAGGGCTCCAAGCACAGGTACTCTCCCGAGGCCATGCTGTGTGATGGGCAAGCATGCGCTGTGGAGTCAGACCTATGACAATGACACTGAGACCCGGGCAGACTTGTGACGATAATGCTGAGTCCTGGCTGATGCCTGGCCCTGCTGAAGGTGCTTTTCTCATCTGTATTGTGGGACTCGTATCTGTTACTTCGAAAGGTTGTGGTGAGGGTTAAAAGTTTCCGGTACATTGCACGTGCCCAGTAAATATTAGTTTCCTTCTTTCTCCTGGGCTGGACTGGGCTCTGCTTACTTCTGTGTGTGGTGTGGAAGGGGTGAGGTGCCAAGGGGGCCACCAGCAGAGACACATTGTGAACAAGTTGGCTCTGGCACTCCCTGTCTCTTAGTCCCTGTCCCTCTACACTACTGCTCTGCTCTTGGAGATCCTGACATGAACCAAGCTTAAATAGAAATGAAAGTTGATTATTTTTATGCAGATTACCATTGCAACAAAAACATCTTCATAATTAAAGGTGACCAGTGACCTGTTGACAACCGGGGTTGACCAGTTTCTCATTTATAAGGGTGTGCATGTTATTTTGTTTTATTTATCATTATTATTATTATTTGAGATGGAGTCTCGCTCTGTTGCCCAGGCTGGAGTCCAGTGGCACGATCTTGGTGCACTGCAACCTCCACCTCCCAGGTTCCAGCGATTCTCCTGCCTCAGCCTCCTGAGTAGCTGGGTCTACAGGCGCACAGCAGCACACCCAGCTAATTTTTGTATTTTTAGTAGAGATGGGGCTTCACCATGTTGGCCAGGGTGGTCTTGATTTCCTGACCTCATGATCCAGCTGCCTTGGCCTCCCAAAGTGCTGGGATTACAGCCCTGAGCCACCATGCCCGGCGCATTATTTTTTAATTTTTGAGATGGGGTCTGTTCTGTTGCACAGGCTAGAGTGCAGTGGTGAAATCACAGCTCACTGCAGCTTCAACTTTCCGGGCTCAAGCCATCCACCTGCCTCAACCTCCTGAGTAGCTGGGACTACAGGCACATACCACCACACTCAGCTAATTTTTTTTTTTTTTGTATGTTTTGTAGAGACAGGGATTTGCCATGTTGCTCAGGTTGGTCTCGGACTCCTGGGCTCAAGTGATCAAGCTGCCTTGGCCTCCGAAAGTGCTGGGATTATAGGCGTGAGCCACTGTACCTGGCCTCATGTTATTTCATGTATAAGAAAATTCAAGTATAAAATACTTTCTGAAAAGTACTTTAAAATCTGTTATCCATGGACTAGATCTTTAGAGCCGGCATCAGAGTGAGCATGCTTATGCATGTTCTAAGAGATGCAGCACAGATATAAGCACAGCTTATTATTCTGGAAGTTTTGAAAGACTTTAAAAAAAAATCACAGTGGATCTCATTAATTCCTTAGGTAAGTTGCCTTAATAAAGGGTAAATGTAGTTTGGGAAATGTCTGTGATACAAGTGATCCACATCTTCTGTAATATCATCCTTGTTCCTCATCCTTCCCGGGTGGGGCCAGGGGCCCTTGGTTTTTCACTGTACCTTAAAAATCACTGCATCCCAGCTTGTCACCTGTTGGGAGGAAGCCTGCATCTTCAGGCTTTGAAATGAGCACAGTGTAAGGACAGAGTTTACTCCATTTCTCTCCTTTCATGTAGTGCTTGGCCATTTGTCCCAGGAGAAGAGATGGTGGCTCTCCAATGGGAAACTCTTTGAATCCTTTATGCTAAGTTGTTTAATATTTAAGTGCTCAGGAACATAAACACAAAATCGTTCCTGGTAACTGACATGCTACATTTATAAAGTAGAAAAGAAAATATATCTACAGAATAGTCTTCTAGTTGTAGAAGTGCCAGTTTTTGGAGGTTTCATTCTGATATAATTTCCCTAACTCACCTGCCAGAAATATGATTCGTGCAGGAAAATAGAACCGTTAAAGAAACATTGGTGTAAAGAGTTCAGTAGAAACAGGATCTCTCTGAGCAGAAAAGCGAAGCCAAATGATATTCTACATAAAGGACAAGGAGATTCAAATCCTTTATGGCTGATTTTAGAATTTTCTTTCTCCATGGAAAGCATTAGTTTGTGACATTAAATTAACATGATTCAAATGTATGCATAGATACCGCCAAACAGGCTGGGGACTATCCCGTGGAACATTGAGGTTCTGTGACCCAGGCCCTTAAGTGTGGGTTGGATTTCATCTGTGGAAAAGGCAAAAGGCACGGTACAGGGTGCGTTTTTTTGGGCTGCTGATGAAAATACCTAGGCAGGACCTGGCACGAAGAAGTGCCCAAGGATGCTCAATTGAATCTGACGCTGTCTGTTGTTTAGACCCTCGAAGCCAGGTTGTTATCTTCCCAGGCTGTTTTAAATTTTATTTGAAGTCGTGAAAATAATGCAGCGAAGACTGTGTTTTTTATGTAGTTAGCCGTCATCTGTCTGCTGCTTAGCCTGCACTGGGGGTGGACCGAGTCTAAGGGGAGGTGGGGAGAGGTAGGCAGCAAATACCCTTGCTTTTGTGGCAGCAACACCTAGTGGCAGAAAATGAGAGAGAGAAGAGAGAATTTGCCTTTCCCACTTCAGTGGCAGCCGAGAAAGTAAGCATGAATGCTTCTGCCCCTCAGCTGCCCTGAGGTTTTTTTGTTTTTTGGTTTTTTCGTTTGTTTGTTTGTTTTTAAATTGTTAAGAAAATTAACTTCCAGTCAAGAGGGAGGTCTTCCAGTGCCAAATCTCCAGTTCATGTTTCTCCGGTCTGAGAGGTTTGAAGTGGAAACGTTGGCTCTCCCTACCGATCCGGTGGTAGCACTCCTGCTTACTGATGTGTTTGACAAGACTTGGGACAATAATATATGATAGTGCAGCTAGATAGAAATTCACTCCTTTATTTTTTGAATTAGGAATTTCACTCTTAACATCTTTGAATTAGAAGGGATATCTCTAACGTCCCTTTCAGTTCCCAAACTCTAGATCTCTGATTTCTCAATGAGCAGGAATTGAGTTGAATGTGCAGGATATTACATTTCCAGAATATTCAGCTGTTTCATCTGCTGAGAAAGGTGGGTGAAGAGGTATTTTAAGTGAATGAGATCTCGGAACCTGCCTGCTTTCTGTGCAGCAACGCCACACCATTCCTTCCTTCTTATTAGCAAGCTTATGGTAGTCGCCTGTCATTGGGAGACTGGGATATCAAAAATGACATAACTAACAAAAAAAACCAAACGTGATGTTTCGTTTCAGGATGATGAAATTAACCAGCAGAGCCAGCTGGCTGAAAAGCTGAAGCAACAGATGTTGGATCAGGACGAGGTAAAGAATGCAATATATTTTTTTTCCACAAAGTTCTTCTATTACTCTTTGTTGTTGATGTTTATTCAGGAATTTAATCGGCAAAGAAGCTTTTCATAATCACAGAATCATGTGGAAATTTCTTGGTAGATTTCCCTTCACTGCCTCTTACAAGCTGATTATCACTGAATTTAGAAAATACATGTCTGACTTTCAAAAACCCCTGATGTTTTGAGATTGAGTAGCCAGTGGCTACACTTCGTCCTGGAAGGGCAGAGACCTTTGGTTGGGTGATCAGGCAAGGATGATCCTTTTTTATTTTTATTTGTTTTGAGACAGGGTCTCTCTGTTGTCCAGGCTGGAATGCAGTGGTGCAATCATGGCTCACTGCAACCTCCAGGGCTCAAGTGATCTTCCTGCGTAAGACTCTCAAGTAGCTAAGACTGCAAGAGTGTGCCACCATACCTAGCTAGTTTTTTAATATTTTAAGACAGAGTTTCTCTGTGTTGCTAAGGGTGATCTTGAACTCCTGGTCTCAAGCATGCCTCCTGCCTTGGCTCCCAAAGCACTGGGATTACAGGTGTGAGCCACCACACCTGGCCTTGGGCAAGGATGATTCTGCCTCCAAATACCCAGCAATACTGTGTCCTGTTGTTTGAGTCCTACTTCAGTTTTGCAATCAGCTGGCTCAGATCTTTGATATACACCATGTTCTCCTGCTGTCCTGTAGGGATACACAAACAAAAACAAAAATAGAAGGTAGAGGAGGGGAAGGCAAAGAGAACGGGGCCCGAGTACTGCGCCAGCATGTATTTAATACACTAAAAAGGAGGCAAATTGTTTTCAGTCTCTCCCCAAAGGCATTCAGTTCTTCAGTAAGTGTTTTTATTACACTGTGTTTCGCCAAGTATTTTACAAACAAGAACCTAAGCAAAGGATAGCCAGCCAACCTATCAAACATGCACAATTAATAATTCCCTTGCTGAGGACCGTTTAAGTGTTGTTCTCTTTTGTGCTTTAAGCTGCTTTCTGCTTCGTTGCTGAAATGCTATGGATTGAATCCCACTGTGCAATGACAGCAGGTGCCTGGGTTCCTGTCCTCAGTCCCAGGCCTCTGTAGGCATAAAGGACTCTGTAACCATTTCCTTCCTCTTTGTTCCTCTTCATCTCTTTAGGGCAATGATTACCTCCCCTGCCCAAACACTTCCCTTGATAGAGAGACAAGCTACACTTTTATAATCAGGTGAACCATATTTCCTTATTCTCTCTCTCTTAGCTATAGTCGAGGCCTTCCATTTGCTTGAGTTTCCTGCCCTCTACCTCCCATTCTACTCCAGTCTCCCCAACATTGGCACAGCTGCTTGAGATAAACTTTCCTTCTTGTTACTGTTAAAACTCCTTAACATTTTTATTTTTCTATACTATCAAGGCAGTATCTGTTCAATAAAGGAAAACCAATATAGGAACAAAGATAGTGAGAGCATCGGCAAGCCCAGATATTTGCTTTTAACTAATGATAATGTTTGGGGTACATCCTTCTATATCTTCATGATGGATGTTAAAAAAAGGTGACCGATCACTCTTGTACACTGTTATAGTTGATTGTGAAGTCAACCTGTTTACAATGTGAAATCCTGATAACATGTAAAAACTATGTAAGTGTTATTCGTTGTCATTTCCTTGGAAATGACTCAGATCTTTTGTTTGTTTGTTTATTTATTTATTATTTAGATGAAGTCTCACTCTGTTGCCCAGGCTGGAGTGCAGTGGCATGATCTCGGCTCCCTACAACCTCTGCCTCCCGGGTTCAAGCGATTCTCCTGCCTCAGCCTCCCGAATAGCTGGGATTATAGGTGTGCACTACCATACCCAGCTATTTTTTTTTTGTATTTTTAGTAGAGATGGGATTTTGCCATGTTGGCCAGGCTGTTCTTGAACTCCTGACCTCAGGTGATCCACCTGCCTTGGCTTCTCAAAGTGCTGAGATTACAGGCATGAGCCACTGCGCCTGACCCCATCCTTTGCTTAAAATATGGAATAGCTATAAAATGCAGTGATTTTTGATGTGTGATTCATTCTTTGAGTTAAGGGTATACAGCTGTAAACTAACAACAACAACAACAACAAAAACAACATATGAAAAACAACATACAAAACAAAACACATGCGCACAAAGCAGATTTTTGCAATAAGAGCATATCTGCCTTTTTCTTTTATTTTTTTATCGTCTGGACCATACAGTGGGGTTTCCCATCATCCTGAACTTTTCCAACTTGTTTTCTTATATCTGGTTTTTAAATTACTTACTTTTGGATACAGCACAGAACATAAACATTTGAACATTAGATTCACAAGTTCCATGCCATCTCATTTTCCCAGCTTTTAGCTTCCACAAGAAGAGATTATGAGAAGATACAGGAGGAACTGACACGTCTCCAGATTGAAAATGAGGCAGCCAAGGATGAGGTGAAAGAAGTTCTCCAGGCCCTGGAGGAGCTGGCTGTCAATTATGACCAGAAATCACAGGAAGTGGAGGATAAGACCAGGGCCAATGAGCAGCTGACAGATGAGCTGGCCCAGAAAACGGTTGGAGCATTTGTTTCTAGGGGGTGGGACTTCCTTGGCTGCCATTCCTGTACTCATATTGATATTCATTGACAGACATGGTATAAGGAGGCAGTAGCTGAATAGTTATTCAGTGTTAGATGCATTCCCTGAGGTCCCTCCAACAATTGAAATACTTCATGCAAGTGACTTTTGTTCACTCATCCTGGAACTGCACATCATGACTGTTTTATATCCAGAGAGTTGATAACATTAGTGGGGATGCTTTGTGGGAATAGTCACAAGAGTGCAGACTTTGGAGCCAGAAAAATCTTAGTTACAAGTCTGACTTCATAACTCTTAGACCTTAGCTGAGACAGTTAAGCTTCGTGAGTATTCATTCCCTTATCTGTAAAAATGGTGATGATAACATGCTGCTTGCATGGTGTGAGGATTAGTGACAGTCTATGTAAAGCACTTAGTGCACATCTGTGCATATGCTACAGTATCAATACATACATCTCAAAGCATTGCTACTGGCAAGAGTGGGGTCCCGTGGAAGATATGGACTTCACTCTTCTTGCTTATACCCTCCTGAATGAATTCCATTCCCTCCAGTCAGCTTCTTGTCCTGGCTGTTACCTTCAGGAGCCTGGAACTAAGCTGCCCTTGTTTGTTTGTTTGCGGTTCTGTTTTAAGCCAGTGCTTCAGCCTGCACATTCCCTTATTTCCAGATTCTCCAAATGAAAGACGCCATAGGTTCTGCAGTGAGCTAGCGGTAGCAGGAGCAGTGAGTGTTTGGCATGGCGGGGTGGAATATGTCCTTTTCTACCTGGAAAATGGGTGGTGGAGAAGCTGACTGGCTCTAACCTGCTGTCCTTAGTACCTCTGCCCAGTGGCCTGGTGTCCTGGGCTTGTGCCCAGCCTGCTTTGTGGAAAGCATCCAGTTTAAAAAGAAGTAGCAGATGGCGCAGGAGAATGCTGATCTGCCGACTGTGAGGCTGACAGGAAATGCTCCTCACAGCATACATTCAGCTGCATGGAGGAAGACTTTTCTAGCAGCTTCCCAAGATGGGGACTACTGCCTCTGAGGATTTTAAAAACAAGATGACATAAGCAGTTGGCAATACCAAACAAAATAAAACAAACTCATTCCGAAGTGGCTTAGGAAAGGGGGCGACTTAGATTTCCTCTGCTTAGTGTTTTCTATCGGATTATTTTAATTAGTCCTTCATATTACTTGCTTCTTAAAACAATGAAACATTTTTCATAATACAGTTTTTAATTTGTCATGAAACCAAAGTATTACTAGATTGGTGTAGAAGGCTATTAAAATTATACAGATTGTTTAAAAATGCTGTAGCTGCATATGGGAGAATTTTATAAATAGATAACCGTTTTCCTGATGTTGAATGTTAGTTAAGAATACATACCTTTTGGCAAGATACATGAAGGATGAAAAAGAGAAGAGTTTATTAAAGTTTGACAAGAAAATAGAGCTTCTGCTCTATAATGAGAAACCAACTATTTGTTGGTTTTTAATAAGTAACCTATTGTTGGTTTGTAATAAGTAACCTAATTTTGAAAAAAGATGAGTGTTTTTAATTCAGCTTCACTCTGAAAATTTGAAGACTTTTTTTTTTGAAGTTGTTTTCTAAACTTATTAAACTACCTCTTGGCCATCTATTCTAGACCCATCTGTCTTTATCAATTTAGGTGGGAATATGGAGGTGGCCCAGGGAGCAGGTTTGTTTAGGAGTGGAGGTGGGGACCCTTGCAGGTAAGTTTAGACCCTGAAATGAAGCAGATAGGACTAACATAGAATATCTGGTAAGTAGGAAGATGCAATTACATGTTATAAACTTAAGGACTTCTTTTTTGGCTTTTACTTATTTTTAATAACTTATTTCCCTGACTTGGAATTGTCATCTGATATATAGACATATAATGTATCAGGCCATGTGATATAACTTGTTGATAAAGAGTTCATCTTCTTATCCAAGAATGCAGTGCTATGCGAGAGTTTGCCTTAAAAGAATTCTTAGGTTGAAGTCATGTAAGTCATGTCAAAGAACTCCATTCTACATGATGGTGTTATGTGTAATGTGGAGTGTATGAAATTGATGGGCAACTCTTTGAATCTGTTGTTGAAATTTGTTTTTCAGACTACATTAACAACCACGCAGAGAGAGCTGAGCCAGCTACAAGAGCTTAGCAACCACCAGAAGAAAAGGGCAACTGAGATTCTGAATTTGCTGTTGAAAGATCTGGGGGAGATTGGTGGAATTATTGGCACCAATGATGTGAAAACTGTAAGCCAGCCCTTCTTTTATCTTCTCTACCTGCTCCTATCAAGTTAGCAGGGTCTGTGCTTGACTCTTTTAAGCATTCAATGCTTAGCACTGTGCTTCGCATCTGCCATGTGCTGGTTAATGTTTGAATGAATGAAAAAAGGGCTAATTGAATGACTGAGTGAATTGTTTGTTGGGGTGAGGAGGAGGAGAAAAAAAATGATCTTTCAGGTCTAGGCAATGTCTTCAAATCTTGGTTGGCTTTGTGTAAATTGGTTTATTTCTCAAACTTATTTCCTAATGTTGCAGAAGTTTGGAATTAAATCGCTTAAGCAACAGTTCTAGTCTCAGAATTGTGTTTTTCCTTTTCTAAAAGAACCCAGTGGAGTGAAAATTCTCCAACAAGTCGACGTGAAAGTATTAGGATTCTAACAGTGGCTTAAGCAATAAAATCATATTTAATTATTCACAATATGAGAAGTCTAAAATCTTGCTACTCAGGGTGTGATCTTCCTCACCTAGGAGCTTATTGGAACTACAGCCTCTCAGGCCCCACTCAGACCTATTGAATCAAAATCTGCACTTTAACAAGATTCTCCAGGTGATTCTTTATGCTTATTAAAGTTTGAGAACCAAATTTTGGTTTGGTGCCATGGCTCAACGATGTCAAATTCTCAGGCTTTTTCTCTATTTCCTTTCTCCTGTCCTCAGCCTGTTTCCTTTTCATAATCCAGATGATTGTGCCTCATGGTAGCAAAATAGCTGCTGTAGTACCGATCATCACATCCTCACTCAACCACATCCAAGGCTTAATCCAGGAGGGAAATGTATCCCAGAAGTCCCCAGGAGACATATCCTTACACTTCATTGGCCAGAATTGGATCACATGACCACTCCACATTTCTGGGAAAGCAAAGGGGAATAGGATTACTATAATTGGCATAAATCAATCATCCAGTCATGATGAATCCCTTGGGGTTGTACACATTGTTGTTCTTGTTTTTGGTTTTTTGTTTTTTTGTTTTTTGTTTTTTGTTTTTTAAGACAGTGTTTTGCTTTTGTCGCCCAGGCTGGAGTGCAGTGGCACAATCTCAGCTCACTGCAACCTCTGCCTCCTGGGTTCAAGCAATTCTCATGCCTCAGTCTGCTGAGTAGCTGGGATTACAGGCATGTGCCACCAGGCCCTGCTAATTTTTGTATTATTATTATTTTTTTAAGTAGAGGCGGGGTTTCTCCATGTTGGCCAGGCTGGTCTCAAATTCCTGGCCTCAAGGGTTTTGCTCGCCTCTGCCTCCCAAAGTGCTGGGAATACAGGCGTGAGCCACCACATCTGGCCATTGGTGCTGTTGACAGCAAGAAAGTCAGAGATGTGGGGATAATAGGGGTGGTATAAAGCTGTCCAGAAGCTAGGAATAGAAGGAAGAGATAGAATTAAAAATGGTATCAGCCAAGAACAGGTAACAATTTGCTGGAATATAGAAAGGCCAATTGTTGTCATTAACCAAAAAAAAGGATAGAGACATTTTTAAAACAAAACAAAGCTTTATGGAGGCATAATTTACATAAAGCTGCACATATTTAAAGTATGCAGTCTGAGAAATTTTGACATATGTGTACAGTCATGAAACCATCAGCACCATTAAGATAATGAATGTGTCCATCTCTCCCAAAAGTATGTGGGGGAGGTTTCTGGTCTCTCTATTTTGTTTCATGGATCAAATCTTTCTGCCAATACCACAATGTTTTGATCACCATAGCTTTATAATAATATAGCCTGTTATACAAAGGAGTCATTGACGAATATATGTTGATTTTGTTGAGCTGGGGAATGGTATTACATTGCTTACCTTACATGTCACAATTTCCTGAAACCAAATTCTTTGAATTTAGCCATTTTATCTTTAAAAGGCTGAATTCTACATCAGTCTGCTTAGTGGGAACACTCAAGTTGTGAGTTGGGATTGTTAAATACTGGAAAATGCTCCCAAGATCAGGCTTCTTTTGTAGACTATTTCTGGGAAATGTTGAAAGCCCTTTTTGGATGGCGTAACAGGTCTCAGCTTAGAGTACATGACCTCTCATAAACGTAACCATTCTTTCATGGAACATTCATTGTAACCGATTATTTCATAAATCCTTGTGAATGAATCTAATTCTAGCACAGACTTCTCAGATACTATAGAGTTAATCTTATTAAGCTTCAGTTTGGTGATTTTGTATTTGAAGATTTAATTTTTTGAACCATACATTGGTGTTGAGCAATAAAATTTGATGTGAGGTGATTAAGTGGCCTCAAAATATGAAGGTGGAGTTGATTTATGGGAAGTTGATGCTTGCTGCTGATAACGATAAAGGAAGAAGGTATTTTTATGCTAAGTTCTAAAATAGAGCTGATGAAAATGCTAATGAAATCAGGAGTGTCTGGGTGCTTCAGTATTGAAAAAAGAGTCTTTACTTTTGGGACTCTGAAGTATGATTGAGATTGAGATTATTTTTAAATAATCAATTGCATGTTTTTGAGATTATTTTTGGATTCCAGACATTGGATGTCCTAGTTAATTTCATTGATAGCCCTCATTTATATCATTCTTGTTTTTTTCGTATAATTATGAGTTCATCATTAGGGTGATGAGAGCCAATGGAGTAGTATGACTTTGGGTGAGTCACTGTGCTTCTTTGGGCTTCATTTTTCTAATTTATAAAATGACAAGATAAGCTCAGACAATATCGAAGATTGTCATCTCAGAAATTACATGACTTCTGCACATTTGTTTTAGATTTATCCTTATAGGTACAGGTACTTTTCTTATTGGTCATAACTGTGAATTGACATGGTAATTCTTTTGATATAGGAGAATGAACAGATCAAGGAAATTTTCTTCAGTGGTTTTGTATTTTTGTTCCTAAAATGCCATTTAATTTTCACAAGGTCCTTCCTGGTAGGACTCTGGGATGGGGGGAAAATGTGGCCCTTGGAGCCTTCCCCAGCCCATAGTTCTAGAATATGACAGCTCTGAACAGCCAGAAAACAGAAAAACCCATATATCCTCAGCTCAATCATGTCTTGAAACATTTCCAGAGTCCAGTCATTTTGTCTCATCAACAAAACAAGATGAGTCCAGCGTATAACAAGATGAGCCCAGTGATAGCTTTATCCGAGTTTATGAGTGAGCCTTCTCTTCCTTTCATGTACTGGTGGCACTGAACTGTCAAGAGAAGTATGATGAGGTCCATACATTTGGAAAGGAGAGCTTTATTTTTCATAAAGGGTTGCAGGCTGCAGGATGACCATTCTTACAGGTTGGGAAGTGTAACCTCTGGCCAGAAGCCAGAAATAAGCACTTTGAGGGTGGAAAGAATAAGAAAGGGATTTATGTTTTTCACAGGGTGGCCAAATATACTTATTCAACAGATTACAGGAGGAGTTATGAAGATTCATGAAGGAGTGGCATGTGCATGTATAGTAGGAAAACATGTATGCAACATGGGTCCATGTTCACTTTGGTTTAGAGACTTAACATTTAAATGTATTATAATTAGGCCCTATACATCAAAGGGTAAAGCAGAGGACATGAAGGCTCTCTGTGTGCAGCCTTAGTAGCCTGCCCAGAACCAGAACCGCTTCGTGGTTGGTGGTCTCTTGTTGGGGAAGGAACACTGGTTGGTGGTTGTGTTGAAATTGCAAAAGAGAAGGGCAGGGGCAGGCCGTGGTTGATATCAGCAGTGAAGCAGTGGAGTGAATATTTCAAAAGGGCTGGCTTCTGTTTAAACCTTGGGGAAGAAGGCCTACTGCCGATTGGCGAGGGAGGGGGTGTGACCAGGCGTTTCCAATTTCACAATCTGTCATGGCCTGGAACTCGGTATTTAACATTCCTCTGGGGTCTCCTTGGCCACGAGGGGGTGTGTTCAGTCATTTGGGGGTTTAGGATTTTATTTTTATTTCTTGGGGCCTACCTTACCTCACTACCTTCAAAGGAATCTAGCCAGAAACTGAATAGAAAGTTGAGGTAGAGTAAATGAACTGAATTGGACTCACTGCCTAATTTTCATTTGGCCCACACTGACTTGTAGGCCTTTAGATGTGAACATGCACCTTACTTACCTTGGGTGTGGTCTAGGAATGGCAGTAGTTCATCATCTTGCACAGCCACTCCATGCTTGAGAGACGGGGTAGGGAGGTGGAGAGGTGGGGGCGACTCCCTGTATAGGCAGGTAGAAGCAGCAGGCCACATCTTCCAAACATTTCATGACGGTGCGGTCTTTTCTCCTGGGTTGGTCATTGATACTGGATCCCATGGTCTAGTATGTACCTCTGGGGCATTATCAGACTCTGGGACAGTTATAAATAACATTTCAGCACAAACTGATTATTTTTTTTTTTGAAATAACAGTGTCCTAAAATTACTGGAAACCTTTGAACATGAAACCACTAAATATATGAACTCTGTAGTGGTAAGAAACCTCACAGTTAAAAACCATTTGTTAGGGGTATTGTTTTTATCCATCAGGCACAAACTCAAAATCTCCTTTTAGATCTCCAAGGACAAGAACTGGCTTCAGAAGTTATAGCTCTGGTTTGGAAGAAGAAATGTCTAGCTCTCATTTTGGAGGAAGCCCATCTTTATACATATCTATATTTTTACTCTTCCTCAATTTACATGGGATCTGGGCATAAAAGACAAAGTGTCCTACTTTAACAGACCTGGAAAAGAAGAGGGATTCATTCTCTTCCCAGGGTGCCAGAGCTGCTGGCTTAGCAGCGTTTTCCTACCAGGAGCTGGTGTAGGCTGTGAATTCCATGTGGAAGAGATGGATTTTACCTTCTCTCTCTGCAGAAACTGGACAAGATGTAAGATACACCTGGTCAGGCTCAGAAAGGTGTTTCTCATCCCTCACCTACACTGGACTAAAGACAATGGCAGAACACACTGAACTTGAAGATTGCATGCTTTGGAATAGAAAAGGAATGTACTGAGGAAGGGTGTTGGTAGGCAGATCTTTGGCAGTCGGAAGTAAAATGGGTTTAACAAGGACCTCCATGAAGGTAGAGTCAGAAATAGATACTTGTCAATTTTCTTGCTGTTGACATACATTCTGCAGTATTATTGACACTGGAGTCACTTGACGTGTACTATCGTTGAATTTTTTTTTAAATTTTTAATTTTGATTTCAATAGATTTTTGGAGGACAGGTGGTGTTTGGTTACATGGATGAGTTCTTTAGTGGTGATTTCTGAGATTTTGGTGCACCCATCACCTAAGCAGTGTACACTGTACCCAATATGTACTCTTTTATCCCTCACCCCACTTCCCACCCTTTCCTCCATGTCCCCAAAGTCCGTTGTATCATTCTTATGCCTTTGTGTCCTCATAGCTAGCTTTCACTTATAAGTGAGAATATATGATGTTTGGTTTCCCGCTCTTGAGTTATTAATACTTCACTTAGAATAATGGTCTCCAATTCCACCTAGGTTGCTGCGAATGCCACTATTTCGTTCCTTTTTATGGCTGAGTAGTATTCCATGATTTTATATGTGTATATATATATATACACATACACACACACACCCCCACATTTTCTTTATCTACTCGTTACTGATGGGCATTTGGGCTGGTTCCATATTTTTGAAATTGCGAATTGTGCTGCCATGAACATGCATGTCTTTTTCATATAATGACATCTTTTCCTCTGGGTAGATACCCAGTAGTAGGATTGCTGGATCGAGTGGCAGATCTACTTTTAGTTCTTTAAAGAATCTCCACATTGTTTTCCATAGTGGTTGTACTAGTTTACATTCCCACCAGCAGTGTAAAAGCATTCCCTTTTCATCACATCCATGCCAACATCTATTTTTTTTAATTTTTTTGATTATGGCCAGTCTTGCAGAAGCAAGGTGGTTTCACATTGTGGTTTTGATTTGCATTTCACTGATAATTAATGATGTTGAGCCTTTTCCATATGTTTGTTGGCCATTTATATTGTTGTTGAATTCTTATGGTAAGGTTGATGCCAAATTACAGGAACTCAGCAGTGTCTAGTGTACTTCATATTTGCTACCAAATTTCAAGGCTGATGCCTGATTCCATTTTTTTAGCCCTTAAATGTTTATTGAACAGATAGTTATATGATGAGTGAATGACAGCAATAACGACATAAGTGGGCACTCGGGAGTGTACTGTGGAACATCAAAAAACCATGGTTGGAGTCATTGTATTTCAACCAATGGAAGCCTCTGTTTCTGCGCCGGATTCTGGACGAGGTTCTTTGTTTTCTCTTAAGGTGCTAGGCTGCCCTCTGGTGGCTAAACAAAATATGCACACAGTTACTTGTTCATTTGGTCAATTGCTCTTAAAGACCCTGTTTGCATTGAGCCAATGGGTTTCTATCCCAAGTATCTTGCTTCAACTTTTGTTTCCAGTAGAGCTTTGAAACTTAGAAACCAAATATAGATCATGCAGGAATTCTGGCTGTCAGAATCTTCTCTTCTAAGGTGGATTTAGACTGTTGTTCTCAGAGGATCTTAAATAATGAGCTAGATTACTGTCTGCTTGAAAGGAGCAGGTGTGAAAAGGCAAAGGAAAATAGACTAGTAGTAGTAATGAAAAGTTATGCTGAGAAACCTTCATCAAGAAGCCCTTTGGTAATTCATAGTACATTCTTATTCATTCGATTTTCTATTTAATTGAGGACTAAACATGGAAACACCTTTTTATTTCGATCCTTGTTTATAGAAACATATTCAAGGCATTATACTACTTCTCTACCTGAATAAGCACACTATGGAGAACATTAATGAAGTTTTGATTTGAGTTTTTATAGGAATTCAGCATCACCTTTAGGAGCATTAGGTCTTGCTGCTGTTACAGAGATATAAGGTGTAAGACATTGAATGGAATACCTTTTTGAAGTTATCTCCTTTTAAAAATCTTCAGTGTTTCTTCTTATGCTGTCATCTCTCTAAAAATTGATGGTAATGAAAAACCTAATTAATTGAGGATTATATTTAGTAGGGGGTTTCAACTGAAAGTTTGACCTGAGGTTTAGGAGAACGTGGGGTTGAATGTTTAGTACTTTCCGCTTGTCCTTTAATTGGGATTCTGAACCAGAAATCCATGGACACCTTGGGGATCTAGGGGCAGGTTTCAGGGGAGTCCGTGAACCTACAGAAATTGTGGGCAACATTTGAGTGTGTCCCCTCCTGTGCTCAGTTGGCAGATGTGAATGGAGTCATTGAGGAGGAGTTTACCATGGCCCGCCTGTACATCAGCAAGATGAAGTCAGAGGTCAAGTCCCTGGTGAACCGCAGCAAACAACTCGAGAGTGCCCAGATGGACTCCAACAGGAAGATGAACGCCAGCGAGCGGGAACTGGCAGCCTGCCAGCTGCTCATCTCCCAGGTGGGCCCTTCCCTTCCCCCTCATTGTCTTGAGATCTGCTGCCTCCATGCCCTTGCTGGTGCTGATGGTGCGCCATAGGCTTAGTTGATGGACTTTGCTTTGTGTAAGCTTGGCCTCCCCAGGCGATGGCAGCCCAGGTCTCTTCTTAGAGCTACATTTTGTTGTGAGAAATACATGACTTCTGATGAGTCGTTTCCCATAGATGGATGGCTAGCTAGCTAATGAATGTAAAAGATTGGGTGGAATCTCTAAAATTCCTATGAGTAAGGCAATATTCCCTCATCTTTTAATCTCTACCATAGGTCCACTTTAATATGGAAAAACAAACTACTACTAGTAGTAGTAGTAGCAAGTGGCATTTTATTGAGCTTTTACTATGTACCATATACCGTGCTAAGTACTTCACATGCATTTTCTCACTTAATCTTAAAAAAATCCTGGTAGGCAGGTTTTATTATTATTCCTCTGTTTCAGACAGGCAGCTGAGATTTAGATTAAATATATGTCCGAACACCTACAGCCAGTGAATGACAGAGCTGGGCTACTCAAAAAAATGTGTGTGAACCCAAAGCCCATGTCTTCAGGGGCTGTTCAAGTCCCAGGGCACATTTCACTTGCCTATCGAGTAAGGCTGCTCTTCTTCCTATTGGAGTGGCATTTTCAGTTTAGTAAAGTAGCCTCAGAAAACAGCAACCCAGTTTCTGGGCTACCACTGATATCGGAGCTTGGTATTTGGGTCTGGCGTTTCCAGGAGGGGTCTAATTGTACACTACTTACTGCCTTATGCGAGGCATTAAAATAGGCTGTCATTTGGAGGAAACAGGAAACGGATACCAACATGGATTGGTGTGTCAAATAATACTGAGGCAGACAAAAGCATACTTTGTTCTGGTGTGCTTTTAACCATAATAATGTGTAATCACAGAAACATCTCCAACCTCTCTGTCTAAAATGAATCCACAAGGTTCCATTTTATAACCAACATAATAAGCAGAAATGTATTGAAAAGATTATTCCGCGCTAATGTGTGATAGTAAAATCGATATATTCATACATTGTTGAGAAAAGTATAATTTGGTCAGTCCTTTTGGAAAGCACTGTGGAAATCAGAAACCATAAAAATGTAAGTATAATTTAGTCCAGTAATTTCACTGACAGTATTTTTCATTGTTAATGAAAATGAAAAAAAAATTTATTTCATATGGTATTCTCATTTCCTGATTAAAAATATTAAAAGCTTTTATGCAAGGTATTGAAGACAATGTTATTTTGGATTATAATAAAATAAATTGCCCAAATATCCACTGATAGACTAATAAGATAAAGTTACATGGAATAATATTATACAGCTCTTATAAAAAATGTAAAAACCTAGCCATTGGGAAAGTCTAATTATATAAAGTTACGTGAAAATGAAAATGCTGAGTTAGATTTATGTTGTGCTTTGCATTCCTGCAGATAAGACCAGGAATATCAGGGGGAAATAGTCGATACATTGGTTTATGGTTTACACCACTTTTTCTGGATTTGCTTTAGAATTTTATTTTTTATAATTATATAGTTATTACCTATGAAAAGTGAAAATAAAAACGATGTACATAAGGGAACAGTGCACCCCATATGTGATTTCTAGGTCATCTATGATACCAACAGCATGTGCTTTGACCAGCCTGCTTCTAACATTTGGGGGCCAAGGCAAGGGTACTAATAGAGACCCCATGGCCTGCAGCCCACCCTCTTCTCTTTCAGGCTGGACATACCAACTCCATGTCCAAGTCCCTTTTGCACCCGGTGTGAACTGATGGAACTGTTAGATGCCAGCTGCCATTTGTGTAAATGGGTGAGGAAGAGGTAGTGCCAGCCCTGGCCTTCAGACCTGGAGTAGGAAGTTTCTAGGTCCCCAGTACTCTGAGTGTGGTCTAGAGGAGACATAGGTTCAGGTGGACATGCTCCCTTGGCCTGTGAACTCTTTGCTTAGTGGAGTAGGGTGCAGCCAGAGGAGGGCCCAGTGGGGTACTCTGAATCGTCCAGGTCTCAGACTGACACTGACTTTGCTGTATGAGATCAGAGTCAAGAACATTAGGATGTGTTGAGTTTAAAGAGTACCTGTTCTAAAGTTCTCTTTCTACAACAGCAACAAACACAGGTTCCATTAGGTGGTGGTTTACACTCTGCTACAATTCATACATTGCAAAGATTCGACCATTATTTCCTGAAGTTCAAAAGTAACAGAAACCATGGCTCTTTATTTTCTGATGTGATCTAAGGAACCTGGCAGTCTTTCCAGCTGAAATGCTATCTTCTGTGTTTACGTTCATCCTCGTCACCAAAAACTGTGCTTATAAGATGACTGCTCCAACGGAGTTGTGTTTTCTGGAGAAGTGATTTCATTAGATTAGAGCTCAGTCTCCAGGGTCTCCTGCCTAAAGCTGAGCTCCCTAGATCAGGAGAGGGAAGTGTTCTGTACACATTTTCCATCTGCCTAGAAGTTACCACTGTCCCTGTTCAGCCAACAAGCTCTCATTCATTCATTCATTTCACTAGTATTTATTAAGCACCTACCCTCAGGGAGCTAACAACTAAAAAAGACAAGACAAATGATGTAGACATTAGGTGCTGTAAGAAAGTGTTGGGGCCTGAGTGATAAGGAGCTAGCCAGGGCAGTGTGTGTGTGTGTGTGTGGTGTGTGGTGGGTGGTGATGGTGGGGAGGGAAAGCTTCCAGGGAGAGGAAAATGCAAAGGTCCTGAGATGGGAATTGGTGTGTCTGAAGGACAGAAAAAGGAAAGACCTAATATTTGAATGGTGAAGATGGAATCCAGAGGTGCGTGTTCAATGAATGAGGCCTTCAGCCCCGCACTTTTCCCAGCCTGTTTCTCTCGTGCACGCTTTTCTCTGAGGAGCGAAACCCGCTTGGCCTTCGGCATCTCACGTTAAGTGGATGGTGAGGAGGGGCCTGCCATGAGTGGTGTCTGTGGGGAATGAAGCCAAGAAGCACAGGGAGAAGCAGAGGTCTGTCTTGGTGTGATTCTGAACACCAAGGCAAGGGTGAAATGGGCACCATTTGGTAGTGGCACTCAGAAAAGGGACTCAGGAACCCCTCCTGTCTCTCATTTTCCCACCAGTCAATTCCAGGCCAGCCTGGATGATCACCTGCTAGTCATTCACTCTTCCTTTTTGCTTGTTTAAAGCACGAAGCCAAGATCAAGTCTCTGACAGACTACATGCAGAACATGGAACAGAAGAGGAGGCAGCTAGAAGAGTCCCAGGACTCGCTCAGCGAAGAGCTGGCTAAGCTCCGAGCCCAGGGTAAATATTTGACTAACGCGCAGGTGTCAAACACCTGGCCTAAGGCAGACAGCCTCTGGTTGACTGGAATCATGATGTTTAGTTTTGCTTAGTTGAAGTATTTCTAGGTCTGCTGCAAACAATAGCATAACTGGAAAAAAGGGAGAGATTTCTATTTCGTTTTTTCTTTCTTTTTTTTTTGAGACAAGAGTCTCTCTCTGTTGCCCAGGCTGGAGTGCAGTCTGCGATCTCAGCTCACTGCAACGTCCACCTCCCAGGTTCCAGCGATTCTCCTGCCTCAGCCTCCTGAGTAGCTGGGACTACAGGTGTGCATCACCACACCCAGATAATTTTTGTCTTTTTTAGTAGAGATAGGGTTTCACCATATTGGCCAGGCTGGTCTCCAACTCCTGACCTCATGATCCGACTGCCTCAGCCTCCCAAAAATACAGACATGAGCCACCGCGCCCAGCTTAAAAGGAGAGATTTCTAAGAGACCGTTCCCACCCTGAATCTGCTCTTCTTCCCATTTCCCCACAGTCCACCCAGTTATCCAAATCAGAATCCCTCACTCCCCACCTCCTGACTCTAGTTGGTCACCAGAGCCTGTTCATTCCACCTGCCAGAGGCCTCTCTGGTTCACTGTCCAGGTTAACTAAGGACTGTGGCTATATCCATCTACCCATGCCCACCCTCAGTCTGCTCTGGGCCAGCCACTGTGTGGCATCCCAAGGGATGATCCTAAAATTCACATTCTCTCTCTGTCCAAACCGACACTTCTAACCCCTCCATGGCATCCCGTTGCTCTTAATATAAAGTTTGAACTGCCGTGGCTTCGCTGGCACCTCCTTGAACAAGCTCTTCCCTTTGCCAGCCAGCCTTGTGATCTCCTGAGCTTAGGGAAGTGCGTCACACATAGGAAGCATTTCATAAATATGAATGAATAGAAGCTGAGATTCAAGAGAAGGGACTAGAAATGCAGAAACTAGAACAGGATTAAGAATGTATGTGCCATGTAATGTGAAACTAGAACATATATATTATGAGTTGCAATGAAAATTGTTACAATTCTTTCAGAAAGCCATTTGAAAATACATACTAATAATTATAACATTTTTCATACCTTTTGATCATCACATCTCAGATATTCATTGCAGAATTTTAGATCAGCAAAAAAGAGGAAGCCATCTAAGTGTCTAATAGCTAACACACTATGGTGTGTTATTTAATAGAACTTTTTTTTCCACATGAAATACGTGAAGGTGTGCTACAATGTTTATGATGCAATGTTAGGTGAAAATCACAATATATCATTGTATCTTTACTATGGTTATAACTATTAAAAATGAATGAATGCGGCTGGGCATGGTGGCTCACGCCTGTAATCCCAGCGCTTTGCAAAGCCGAGGTGGGCAGATCATGAGGTCAGAAGTGGAGACCAGCCTGGCCAACATAGTGAAAACCCGTCTCTACTAAAAATACAAAAATTAGCTGGGCATGGTGGCAGACGCCTGTAATCCCAGCTACTCGGGAGGCTGAGGAAGGAGAATCGCTTGAATCCGGGAGCCGGAGGTTGTAGTGAGCTGAGATCATGCCACTGCACTCCAGCCTGGGTGACAGAACAAGACTCCGTCTAGGGGAAAAAAAAAAAAAAAGAATGGATGCTTGCGTTCCTAGGAATTCATATTTAAGATAAAAGTGGTTGTGATAGGGTAGTTGGGATGGTGATGCTGTTATCAATTTTTATATCCTTTATTGTTGTTGTACAGTTTGCTCAGTAAATACATTTTGTGTCAGATGCCAAGGCAGATTTAAAAAGAAAGAACATACCCACTCTCTGCTCTAACCTCGTAACATGTTCTTTGTGTGGTAACACGTGCATGTTAGTAGGTGCACCATCAAAAACTGCACATGGAAAATCATGTTTCTCTCTTACATTCAGTGGTTTCTGCAGTGGGGCCACTGAGTTGAAATAAAATAGAGGCAAGAAAACCTGAAGTGGAACAGACCAGAGAGAAATAATGAATTGAATGTCACTGTCGTAAAGCACTCTGCTCCCTGGCACCCCAGCTCCACAGCTGGGGCTGCCCATTGCACCTGGCATTCAGGGAGCGCCAGCGACCAAGCATATGCTGAGACAGGAGTGCCACACTGCAGCCCTGCCCCAAACGTGGGGCCTTCTGATTTAATCTCAAAAGTGTTATGCTATCTTTCCACTTCCCATGTTCCCATCCTTAGAGTATGTTTTCCTGCCCCAGATTCTTGGAGAATAAACGCCTACACATGGGAGGTAAAGTAGGTCTTCCTGGAACTCCCATCATGGCATGGGTCCACAGGCCACCTAACAGTCACAGAGGGCTTTATCATCTGCAAGGCCCATTTATGCACATGACCTTGTGCTGATCACAGAGACCAGGTGGGAAACAAGCCCTCCCAGGTGTGCGGTGACATAAAGCCAGAGTGCAGTCCTAGGAGGACCGCCCCCCGCGAGCATTGTCCCCTACAGTTGCTGCGCTTCCCTGTGGAAGGAATGCCGCAGGAGGGGGCCGCCTTGGCTTTAGCCGGAAGTCCTTGCCTGTTGCTTTATGCTGTGGTTGTAACTGCTGATATAAGCTGATGTTTCACTCGGTTGCCATTTTTCTTGCTTTTTATTTTTATTTTTTTTATTTTTGATTTTGGGTGTGAGTCCCACCGGTTAAATCTTAAATCATCATTTAAAATTCAAAACAGAAAAAATGCACGAAGTCAGCTTCCAGGATAAGGAGAAGGAACATCTGACGCGGTTGCAGGATGCTGAGGAAATGAAGGTGCGTGTGACCGCCCCTTCCATTAAGCCCAGTGTGCATTTGATGCATTTGGATTGGAAATGCTTGTTCTAGGAAAATCTGTCACCTTCAGATCTGTGTATGGCAGGGGAGAGGGGAGAGGAGCTGCTGGGCACTCAGAGTCCATCTCAGAGTGTGGTCTGGCTTAGACATGAGCAAGTCCCGAAACCCCAAGATGTCTGTAGAGAATGGTTAAGTTGCGTTAATACCTTTGTCTTCCCCATTCCTGATGAAGAGGGATAGGGTAGCACCCCCAATCACTGCATGAGCTCTTTTGTCGGAGTTAACTTCTAAGGATTTCTTCCTCCAACCTTTATGAAGAACACACCAAATTTGAGTTTCTATCTCAAACACAGAGATTTTTCTTTTGGTCACATTTTAAAGAGTAAAGGAAAATTGATTGGGGAGTAAGACTTTTAGGTGAATAAAATGAGACAGGAGAAGATGTAGGATTTTGATTAGTTGTAGGCAAACTATGAGCCTCACTGAGTCAAAGTCCACAGTTAAAGTGATGTCCACGGCATGCCCCTACTCCAGCCAGCAGAATAAAATCATGCCTTGTGGGAGTCCCTTTCCTGTCTTCAGAGTGTTTTGGCAGAAAGGTCTCCTTTGGACATCATCATAAATCTGTACAGCGGGCAGGGCAGGGGCTTTTATCTTAATTTTACAGGTGAGGGAGTGCAGCTCACACAGGTTACAGGTTTGTCTGAGGTTACTTGAATAGGGAGAGGTTGGTGCCCTCTGACTGACCTGGCTGGAGAAGCTCAGGGTGGACTGGAGAAGCTCAGGCTGGGCTGTAGAAGGTCAAGGGAACACTTTTAGTTGGTGGACTAATTGGCTCCTAAGGCCCACTTGGTTTTATAACAGATCTTGGGTTTTGTTACCCAATAAAGCAAGGCCGGGTCCTGGGCGCACAAGAGTCAGAAATGCCCCCAGTTTTGGGATCTGACATCTGAGGGACACAGGGGAGGAGGCAGGTCCAGATCCAGGGCTTGTCACAGAGTGGGCTGAGTGCCAACGAGTGGATGACATGTTTCTCTTGGCCTGGGATGCAGAAGGCGCTGGAGCAGCAGATGGAGAGCCACCGGGAAGCTCACCAGAAGCAGCTGTCTAGACTCCGAGATGAAATTGAGGAGAAGCAGAAAATCATTGATGAGATTCGGGAGTGAGTTGGCCCAGGACTCCAGGGGTGTGGGGGTGGTCATGCCTCGGTCCTCTTGGGGAAGCCCGGAAGGATGTGGCTCTTAGCCAAGCGCCCTGCTCACCTTGCCCTGTGGGCACTGCCCTGGTGACACAGCAGGCTGGGCGGGCTGCTTCCAAGGTCTGTTCTCCCATCTGGAGCTGAGCCTCCTGGAACCCTGGCGTGGCAGGTGGCAGGCGGGCCCAGCTGCCTTTCCCAGTCCCCAAGGGCCAGGGTCACATAGGTGATTCCGTGGATGGACACATGCCCCAGTAGATGGGGGGAGCATCTGTAATGAAAGCACCAAAGAAAAGAAAAAAAAAAGAAAAAAGAAAAAAAACTTGGTCCTGACTGCACAGTTCTAGTAGGTTAATAAACACTCGAGAGAAGACAGCACCACTGCCTCCCCTTCTCCCCCTACACATACACACTCACTGTGCCACCCAGCCACCTGGTTCCATGTGCTCACTTCTTAGGACCCCACACTGTCATGTGTCTGCACAGGCAGAGGTGCCAGCGACCTGTGGCACTGCCACCAGGATGGCATCATTGCAGTTTCTCTCTGGTGACACCCCCTCATGCTGTGCTCCTGCCTTGTCACAGCCTCTGATATGCCCTCTGCTCCTTCAGAATGATGTTTTCAAATGCTCTGCATAAAAGACTTGGGATTACAAAGAAAACCAATTATATTGAAATGCTGATCTCCCCACCCCCACCCCACCCGGGGTCTACACTGTTCTCTTCCCTCCCACTTTCTGTAGATGAAGAAACAGATTTCTATATGGGAAGCAAGGTGAAATGATTTACTTAAGGTCACATTGCTAAATAGGAATCAGATTGGAGTTAGACTTTAATTCTCCAGACTACTGATCCAAGTCCCTTTTCAATGTGTGTGAGCCGCTTGAAAGGTACATTTGCATTTTAAAAGAGAAGAATGGTAACCCAGGCAAAAGTCTAAATGGTGTGACCCAGACTCGGTGCCCAGTCCCTGAAGGAAGGCACTTAGACTCCTCCCTCTTTTTCTCCTCCCGGGCCACCCCCTGCTGTTGCCATGTGCTTTCCCTTTCAGGGATATCTCACGTTTATTATTCTGATTAATCACCCTCACATATTCACCTGGAAGGGAGGGGGAGGTGGGAGGGAAGGAAGGTGAGAAAGAGGGCGGGTTGGTGAGTGAGTTAGGAGGTGGGGAAGCTTCCTCGGTCTGTGCCCTTCAAATGGACTCTGGGCTTCCCTTCTGGTGGTGCATAGCTGTTCCTTTACAGGCGCTTAGGCGTGGCTCTAGGAAAGGTTTTATGAGTCCTAGGCTGATGTAAATGTTGACCAAACACCCTCAACCAGATGGCAAGTTTCTGTTTGCAGCAGAGCCCAGGCTGTCTTTTCTTCATAATTTCTCTCTCCGTGCCCACTCCTTGAGGGCAGAAACTGCCCCGGTATCTGTGAGGCATTTGGACTTGGGAGATGTTTTTAGAACGTCAGACCAGAAAGGAGGGAAGGTGGAAATGGCCAAATCAGGTTCCCCGAGGGAGCGCATGCCGTCGGAGGGGCTGAGGAAGCAGAGTTCTTCTTACATGGGCTCTGTGTTTTAAAATATCAGCCCTTCTCCCATCTCATTATTTTTCCCCTGAAGCTCTTGCCCAAGCAAACTATAAATACATCCTCAAAGCCTTATGTTTCATGACTCTTAGATGCACCCCAGAAATTAGTTTTCACTTGGGCAGGGAGGAAGCTGTGAGGTTGTTCTCTGATCCCTCCAAATCCTGCAGAATTACTGCCTTTATTGTACAGAACTAATAGGGTTGGAACAGAACCACGGTTTTAGCCGGATGACTCAGAATTTCAGACTGATGTGGAATATATTGCTTTTTCCTCTCAATTTCAGTTTGAATCAGAAACTGCAACTGGAACAGGAGAAGCTCAGTTCTGATTATAACAAGCTGAAAATAGAGGACCAAGAGAGAGAAATGAAGCTGGAAAAGCTCTTGTGAGTGCACTCTAAATATTTCCCCTATTTTCTCTCATCCCCATGATATTCTGGTTAGATTGGGCTAATTTAAAAACAGACAATGGCTATTTGTGTGCTTGTTGTTGGTTTTGTTTGATTTATCTGTGGATGCAAATAGTATCTGCTGAAATCTCTGAGTCCCCTATGGTGGTCTATGGTTCCTTTTTGTTTTTCAGATTGCTCAACGATAAAAGGGAACAAGCCAGAGAAGACCTCAAAGGGCTGGAGGAGACAGTGGTATGTCAAGATATTTCCCGATTTATGTTCGTCTCCAAGACCAGATTTGTTTGTGATTTGTCGGATTGTTTATTTCAAAATTTTATCCATGCACACCTTTCTGTGTAATGTTTTAGATAAGACATTCTACGGAAAAGTAGGATTTGTAGAATTGAGTCCTCAACTCTTCACAGAATCAGTCAACCAATCCACCTATCCTGAGAGCAGTAACCTGGAGCCCCTGAGTGAGGATTAAGCTGAATTGCAACTTAGCAATTTTACAGCCCTGTACTCTGTGACATACTTCCACTCAACATTCAACAGATATTTATTGAGCGTCTCCTAACGGCTGGCATTCTTCAAGGTGCCTGAATATATCCATAAACAACAGAGATAAGCTCTCTGTCCTTATGAAGCTTACCTTTAGCTGCGAGAGATGATAAACAGTAAGGAAACAAATCTTGCACTCTATCAGATGGCTGTAGAATGTGCAGAGGTTGTTGACTGGGGGAGGCTCCATGAGGAGGTGACCTTTGAGCAGGGACTCGAAGAAGGAGAAGAAGTGAGCCATAGAGATATGTGGGGGAGAGCATTCCTGGCAGAGGCAACAGCTCATGCCAAGGCCCTGAGATAAGCCCAGGACTCTCATGTTGGGGGCCAGCAGGGAGGTTTGTGTAGCTGCAGCTGAGGGAAGGACAGGGATATAAGGTGAGCACAGAGAGGTAAAGGCCACAGTGATGCAGGCCAGGTAAAACTTTGAGACCTGCAGGGCTTTGGGTGGAGGAGTGATGGGCCCAGCTTCCCTTTGGAAGGGCTCGTTATTTGAAACCCTGGTTGGTTTTCTCTGTCCTGTGTCTGGGTTTGTTGGCATCATCTCCTCTGGTCGGCTTCCATTTCAGCTGCTCTGTGGGATAGCTGCCTGGCTCCATGCCCCACAGCCTGCGCTTCAAGACAGACCATTCTAACATAGCCTCTCCATTTGGTGAAAACATGTTCAGGCATTTCACATGATTCAACGACAGGGAGAAACTGTTGGTTAGATACAGTCATCCATTTTGGCTCCGTTCATGGGTCATGTGGATCTGTGTGGGACTGATCCATCTCCAAGGACCTGGTGACCCCACATTGGTGGCACCTGTTTGCTTGGGTCTGGCCCCGAGATTGTGCTCTGGCCCCTGGACTTATAGTATTTGTTGCACCTCAAAGCCAGGGAGCGGAAATGAGGGCACCAGCCATTGGAGACGGAAGATGCCTGTGTCCAAAGGGAGCCGGGCATTTGGAGCATGGAGGAGGAGCCTGTGAAGGGGGCTGCTGCTGGGGAACCTGAAACGAAGCCACACAATTGCTTCATCTACATCTGTTTTACCAGAGAAGTGATAATCCTAATTATAGATAATTATAGAAATTCAGAAAAATATTGAACATTAAAATTTCACTGTATTTCTACCAGCCAGAGATCAGTGATATCAATGAAATATTTTGGGATCTTCTCTTCCTTTACACCCGTGAGCTCTCAGGCACTCTCACCTCACTGTCCCTAGCCATCCACGCCCTCTTTCGGTCTCACTGACACCTACAACTCAAGCACACAAGCACATCATCACACACTCACACCGGGGCTCACAAGTCCCTTGCAGTCAGCTGCTCACTGTCATGTTCTCATGCCTCTGCTCAGCCTCACTCACTCCTGCATGCTCCTCCATACACAAGTACTTACAACACACACTCTTGTTACACACAGGACATGCGCACTTGCATGCACACACACAGCTTGCATTCTCACTAATGATTGTCCACACTTTCTCATTCGCACATTCACACAATCTCGTGCAGTTGCTCACCCTCACTCCCCTTGCTTGCCTTCACTCACACCCACACCCATGTTCACACTCCCTTGTACACTTTGCACAGATGCTGTCTCAGGACACTCCCCCTCACATGCACGCAGGCGCGTTCACACATGTCACCCTCATGCACTCTTTCAGTCACAACCACCTCCGCTCACATGCACACTCATTTCCATGCTCACGGACTCACATGCTTTCTCCTCTCATACGCTCAGGAGTGTGATATTTAAAGAATGGTTTCATCAGCTCTTTTGCCTTTTTTGAAGTTCGAGTGGTCTTTTGCGTCTTTTGAATGACGTATTTTCCTCACTAGCTCCTCTGTCTCCCTGCTCGTCCTCTCTCCCTCCCACGCTGGGCGCGGTTCCACGCGCTCCCTCCCAGGCTGCTCCCCACTCGAACCCTCGCCCAGCCCGTGCACGCGGACAGACCCACTGGCTTCATGGCACCCACATTCTCTCCCTCACTCTCACTTACCACCCACACGCATCGCATGCACGCTTTTAAAATCCAAGATTGGAGCCCTGCAGTGTATGCCGTTTTAGACTCGGATGTTTTCACTCAGCCTTGGAATTCTCCCTGAGCCGTAAATGTTCTTCAGAAATAGACGCGCTGTCCTTGGCTGACTGTTCTGCCGCTCTCCTCAGCGCAGGGCCTGTTCTGCCTCCTGGAGTGTTTGGGTGGGGTGAGTGGGACATGGAGCCTGCTGACCAGGGGGTGAATGCCCGGGAAGCCCGCTGCAGGGCACAGTGGTGGAAAAGGCCGACTGGCCGTCGGGGCATCCCTGGCCCCGGGCAGCTGACTGGCTGGAACAGGACACTGTCTGGGCTTTGGGGTGGGAGCTCTCCTCTGGGTGCGTTGATGAGACTTATATTCCCTCCTTGCTGGTCCCACCCTTGCTGTCCACTGTGACAGGAAGCTGAGCCTTGAGCTTTGGCATGGAGGGTAGCAACCTGTGAAGAGGGACATGTGTGGGGAGGTGGAGGGGTGATAATGAACGTGATAGAGGAAGGAACACTGCCACAGGAGGCCGAATGATAGTTGCCTGAGCACAATGTGTGTAAATAAAAGGGACAAGTGATTTTAAATGATTTATACCCTTCCCAAACTGTTTATTGTTCAATATCCCTAAAAACAAACAAAAATGAGAGAAAGTTCCCAACCTCAGGACTCTATATTTAGTATTTACACCCTAGGAGAATCCTGGCCCTTGGACAAAGCACTGTTCTCATTCCGTCCTCTGTTCCCATTCCCTTTTGGTGTGGTGGTGGTTTTATGAAAAATGTAAACTGTGATTACAGTTCAATCAGTAATGAAACCACTGATGGGAGAGAGAGTGCATGCAGGGTGGGCGCAGGTGTTAAGGAGCAGGGTATCCAGGCTGCGCTCCCTCTGGCAGGGCCTGGGACAATGTGTAACATAGAGAGTACTGCACCCCTGCCCCTGGGCTGAAAGGCGGCACAGCCTCAGACAGGTCCTGTGTGCACATTATTCATAATCACAGATCCATTTGGTTTCCTGCAGAAAGTAATTTACCTCATCTGAGGACATAATTGACTTCAGGTGCTTCTTATTTCAACACAGAATTGGACCCAGTAATAAGACCTTAAATTAACAGAGAACTTTTACTGCAAGAAACTTAGTGTTTGTATAGCTTTATAGTATGTTTTTTTCCTTTTAGATGTGAGCGTGTGTGAGTTGCGTCCCTTGAAATTCTGTGTTAAAGTAGGTCAATTTAGACAAATAAAGTTTGCATGCAGAATTTAGCTCTCTCCTCTTCCTCTATAGGAAAATATTTTACAAGGAACTAATCACATCTCCTATAGTAAACACATGGAGACTTGAACAGACAGAAACATTTGATCTTCTGATCTTGTTAACAAAGATCACCAGATCTGGCTCAGGCTCTTGTCTCAGCAATCTAATTCCTAAGGTTTCATTTGTAGAAAGTAATCCAAAATGAAGGGGAAAAATGTCCCCAAGATTACAGTGAAAGTTTTAACAACAACAATAAAAGGAAGCAATACAAGCCTAATGAAGAAATGGCTTTTATGATATGAAATATGCATCAATAAATTCATACTAGTCACGTTTATTGGGCACTGAATATGTACCAGAAAATGTTCTCAGAACATTATAAGGTTCATCTCATTTAATCTTGACAGCAATGATGAGGCAACTACTGTTTTTATTGTCATGTTAGCAATAAGAAAACGGAGGCACAGAAAGGTTAGATAACTTGCCCAGGGCCACCCAGGAGGAAAGTCCACGAAATGCCTCATCCATAAGCTCAGTGATGTAAAGCAAACAAGTGTGTGGACTTGCGCCTGAAGCAGGTGTGGAGACGTGAAAAATGTGAATCAGTTACGGTGAGATATTGTGGCTAACTTTTCACTTAAGCTTGTTGGTATTACATTGTAACATTTATGTAATAAAAAGAAAAAAGAAAAAAGGAATTCATCCTGATACAACGTAGCCCAGTAGGAATTTTTGTGAGGAAACCTTTTGAATTTTTGTGGGTGAGGAAATGTGTGGTTCCACTGTGAACAGATGAGCAGGCTTTGTTCTAGTTTACAATTTGTGGTTTGGGTTCTCAGGCTCTGCACCTCAAGGTGCTCCAGTAACGACACTAGGTCCAGCAGTGGGCATGGTCAGGGTGGGGGTGTCACAGGGAAGGGGGGCGCACCAGCGGCATCCATGGCTGGCTCGGGAAGTGTCTCGGGGAATGATCTGGTGCCAAATGTGCCATAAATTCAGTGAATTGCTACATTTAAGTGACCTTTAAAAATCTTCTCTTCCAGTCTAGAGAGTTGCAGACACTGCACAACCTTCGGAAACTCTTTGTCCAGGATCTGACCACCCGAGTTAAAAAAGTGAGTTCTCTTTTGTCTGAATGGGACTGAGAAGAAAATCAAAGATGGCAGAGAAGAATCATTTTCAGTTGAAATACCACTTGCTTAAGTCGGAGCTGGTTATGCTTAAAAATTAATTACTTCACACCAGAGAATGTTATTAAAAGAATGTGCTGGAGGCAAAAAATACTTGGTAACATTTTCCCATCTGATTTTTCCTTCTTAGTAAAAGGAAGTCAGAATGCTTTCCCTGGCCTTCATTTCAAATCAACACATATTTTTCTGGCCCCCACTGTGTGAGGGCGACTGCTCTTGACACAGAAACATTTAGAGTAGTCGCTTCAGAAAGCATTGCCCGGAAGCCTGGAGAGGCTGGACCGAGAGAGCCTCTTATTTGTTTGTTAAGAGGCCATTAGGGGCTAGGTTAGAGTTTATGAAGCACGTCAACATCCAGTATTTATTTGCTTTTCCCAGCAACCATGTAAGTGGTGCTTAGTGTTCCTGTTTTTGCGAATGTGGAGATAGGCTCAGATGTTAAATAACTTACCCATATTGCACTGGTGGGAAGAGCCAGAGATGGATCTGGAACCCAGGCCTCCGGGGTCTCTGGATCTGAGCTTCTTCTGTCCTCTTGCTACACCAGCAATCTGGAGACACTCTGTAATGGTGACTCACCCAAACAGCTTGCAGAGGTTTAAGGAAGGAGTAAGAGGTGAAGGCAGCAAGAGGGCTACTCTTTCAAAGTGTTTAAAAGTGATGGACGACACAATGGGCCATGTGTAGAGGGATGGTAGGATTGAAGGAAGGTCTGTTTAAGAAAAGTGTGTGCATGTATGTGTGAATGTGTGTGCATATTTGAATGTGTGAATGTGTGTCAGTGTGAAGGAGCCAAGGGAAAGAGGTCAAATGCCTTATAAAGATAGAGTCGGGTCTGAGAGGGAGAGGATTAATAGTGTAGATGGATGTATTAGCTAGTCTTGGTAAGGAGAAGGGACACACATTCCTAAAGGGGAGGAGTGGAGAAGTCAAGTTGGAAGGATTGGCAGGGAAATACATGAGGGTGGAAAGAAGCCACATTTGATGATTTGGGTCTTCTTGGTTTATGTGTAGGCTCAGTCCTTGGTGGGGAAGTAGGGAAAAGAATGGGAAGCCCAAGGAGACTAGACATGGTTCAGGCAGCCGAGGTGGCCGACTATGGAAAAGTAGGATTGCTGAGCAGTGGTGTTGGTGTTGAGTCAGAAGCATGTGGCCCCTGACAGCATGATTTAAGTGAGTTTAGAATCCTGGAAATTAAAATAAAGAAGGCAGAAAATGATGGGCAATTTCAAGGCATGCATGGCAATGGCTAGGCAATTAGGTAGTTAGTAAGCACGGTCCAAAATACAAATGACCATGGGGGCCTGGACCTGGCAGGAGAGTGAAGCCAGAGCAAAGGTGATTCACTAGAATCAGGGAGACTAGACGGGGAGGGCATCTGGCCAGAGGTTATGACATGGACTGAAAAGGTTCAGTCCGAGGAAGGAGGTGGAAGCCATGACCATACATGGAAGGCTCTGGTCCTAGGGAGGGTTAGGAGCTTGAGATCAGACTTCCGGATTTAATGATAAAAAACTCTCTAGGAAAGCCCTGCTTTTAGACCAGTGGTTTTCTGTGGGTGGTTCTCTGGCCATCAGCCTCAGCATCACCTAGGAAACTGTTTAGATATGCAAATTCTCATACCTGACCCCAGATCCACTGAATCAGAGACTAGGGTTGAAGTGTGGCAATCTAAGTCTCAACAAACCCTCCCCTCGGGAGCCGGGTGCTAAGGCTCAACTTTGGGGAGCTCAGTTTTAGACTGAAGAGCTGCAGGTGTGAGATGCTCATGTAACCATTACCTTTTAGAAAAAGGATGATGATCTCTTCTATAATCAGACCGAGCAAACCTGCTTTTCCACCTTGGAACACCAGGATGTGTTTGCACCTGTACTTTCCAATTTATCTGTGCCACTTGGCTTGCCAGGAGTGCAGCGTTTTGCCAATTTCAAGATTTGATAAATTTCAAGAATTTACCCAGCACCCAGATGCTATGATTAATTTGAGCTTGATTCGTTAATGAATTTTATAGATTTGGAAGCTGAAGGGACAAGCAGAGGCCATTAAGACTTCCCAGTGGGACCACAGACATTTGCTTACAAGTTTGGTGACTTGTTATCCCATCATGAAGGCTGAAGTCAAATTTAGGTCCTGGGTTTATGTTTTCACAGTTGTTGTTTCTTAACGACTTTTGGAATGCTTTCTTTTGAAAAGAAGTCTCTATTTACTACACGCAAGGGAGACATATATTTTACTGAAGATAAATCATCTGTAACTTTCAAAAGCAGATTTTGAAGTGTTTTGTTTTGTTTTGTTTTGTTTTAGCTCCCTAAAAAATAGCTCCTCCTTAAATCACTTTTCATACTAATAAGGGAAATTAATTGGGGGATTTGTTGAGTCTAAACTTTTAGAACCTCTCTCTATTTTCACTTTCAGAATACCCTTTGGTGGGAATGGGGATTCTTTTTTTCTATCCACATTATCCTGGGGTGGAGGGTGGGTGGATGACAGCCCGTCCTGCTGACCCCCTGGTGTCAATGCAGAGTGTGGAGTTGGACAGCGATGATGGAGGCGGCAGTGCTGCCCAGAAGCAGAAAATTTCCTTCTTGGAGAATAACCTGGAGCAGCTCACCAAGGTTCACAAGCAGGTAGGAGAGTTCTGCCCACTCTCCTCTGCTTCCCTCCTCTCTCCCGAAAGAAGCCCCACCAGGTTTGGCCATGGTGTGCGGAGAAGGCACTGAGATTGAAGGTAAAAGAACTGTACTCCATCAGAGGACAAGAGGGCTGGAAAGGTCCTTACAAATCCTTTAGTTCTCAGTGACTTCCCATATATATAAAGGACTTTCTTTTCTCAAAGCCAAATATAAAGCATTGGGTTTGAGCTCTCTGGGGTTGGAGAGGGAAGTGTTCAGAGGCCTGTCTTTTCATCCTGCCTCCACCCCTGACTTTGGACACCAACTAGCCTCCGTGTCTCCCATAACACCTCTGAGGTACCTCTGTGGACCTGAAAGCTCCACAGAATGCAAAGTGGACCCCACTGAGCTGGTTCAAGTCCTTTATTTTTACAGATGGGGAAACAGACTGGTGCCTTGCTTCATTGCACCGTGAGAGGACCAGGACTGGAACCAGCACCCTCTCTGCTCAGCTGCCCATTCCTAGCGATCTCAGATGCTCACTCGGGTGCCTGCGATGCGCTGGCATTTGTCTAGAGTGACAGAGAGTGATAACTGTGTCCAAACTCACCAGTGATTTCAGCAGGTCATTTGTCTTGGATACTTTCTTTTTAAATGTTGGTGTGTGCATGGCTGTTTTCCCTCCTTAGGAATTGGGATGTGATGGAAACGTCCCAAGTTTTTGGACCACATGGCCAAGGAGATGTCATTTCTCTTTGACTTGTGAAGACTTTTTCAATATTACTGATGATGGTGTTTTTTCCCCAGAGGGAGGATAATAGATTCTAGAGAGTTGAAGCCACTCAAATTGTCGATGAGAAATACAAAAGCAGGAACTGCCAGGGAGCTTGAAATAGGGCTCTGAGATACATGTTTTACAATTTATTTTTATTTATTTATTTTTTGAGCTGGAATCTTGCTCTGTTGCCCAGGCTGGAGTGCAATAGTGCGATCTCTGCTCAGTGCAACCTCTGCCTCCTGGGTTCGAGCGATTCTTCTGCCTCAGTCTCCCGAGTAGCTGGGATTACAGGTGTGCGCCACCATGCCTGGCTAATTTTTTGTATTTTTAGTAGACCCAAGGTTTCACCATGTTGGTCAGGCTGGTCTTGAACCCCTGACCTTGTGATCTACCCATCTCAGCCTCCCAAAGTGCTGGAATTTCAGGCGTAAGCGACTGCACCCAGCTGAGATGCATTATTTTATTCATGGATTGAATGAGCATTTGTTAAAAACGTACTCTCTGCCAGGCACTAGAGCTGGTGCTAGGAGAACAAAGCAGGAGATTCAGCAGTAGCTCACTTTGGTATAGCACTTTCTGATTTTCAAAACTCCCTCCGTCCACCTGGATCCCCTATTATGTAGTACACTTGTGTTATCGATGAGAAACTTGAGACTTGTGGTGGTCAAATGACTTATGCCAAGTCACATGGCCAGGACATAAAGAGCTGGCCCTTGAACCCACTCCTACCTAGGGCTGGCCTGTTGCTTCTTCAGTCAGCAAAAAGGCGCAGTCTCTTCCTCTTAGCCTCTGGATGTGTTGCAAAGCTGGGTCCAAACCCCATGCCAGTGTAAACAGCGGGTTCTGCATGGAAGGAGGCCCTCTGAGAGCTCAGGAACATGCTTGTTTTTCACTGAGTCCTTTTGAACCGGCTTGAAGTGTCTCAGCTTTCTCATGCTAATTTACTTTTCTCATAAAGTGGTTGATTTTCTCACACAATTCCCCTTTCCTCTACACACACCCAAACAAAAGAGGAGGTAAATCTTGCCTCAGATCGAAAGTTTCTTGTGGTGGGAAATAGTTTTTAATTGTATCCCCACCCCACCATTCCTTGCACCCCGTGAATCACGTGTTCACCGGAGTCCACAGTCTGGGTTTTCCTTTCCTTTCTGTGGTTGTGCGGAGTGCGAAGGACGACCTAGCGGGGGTCGCCTGTTCAGCAGCAGGGGCTGCTTCTGGCTGCTCTGGTTTGCACAGTGCAGCCTGCCTGGTAGTAACTCCCCTCCTTTATCCTCCTGCCCCAGCTGGTCCGGGACAACGCAGACCTGCGTTGTGAACTGCCCAAGCTGGAGAAGCGGCTGCGTGCCACGGCGGAGCGCGTCAAGGCGCTGGAGAGCGCGCTGAAGGAGGCCAAGGAGAACGCCATGCGGGACCGCAAGCGCTACCAGCAGGAGGTGGATCGCATCAAGGAGGCCGTGCGGGCCAAGAACATGGCCAGAAGGGCCCATTCAGCCCAGATCGGTACGTGTGTGCACCGTGGCGCCCGGGGTTTGAGAAGCTACTGCGGCCTCCCAGCTAAGATTTGCTAAAAAGGTGAAGACAGCGCCAGCCCACTCTGGAACATCTGAAAGACTGGGATGGAGCCCACAGGCGGCAGCCCTCCCTGCACCCTATGCTCACCCTGGGGGAATGGGAATGTCAGGCGCCCCCGTTATCCTATTCTGAGATACTCCGGCATCCATCGTGGTCTCAGAACTTCTGAGCTGGGCAGAGAGAAGCCAGCCAAGGCCGTAGGCCCAGGTCTTGGGCTATAAATGGGTACACTCTTAGAAATACTGAAATAGGAGGATATTTCTCTGCAAGGTGTGAAGGGCCCCTGTGTTCTGCACCCGGTGGGACCATGAAGGAGCCCGTATGTAGCCAGAGCCCCAGGGAAAGCCTCCAAGTGCAGGTTTGGAAATACCCCGGGAAGAGCCAGGCTGGCATCCGTGACAGGGTGTGGCTACAGGCTGGCACAGAACCTGGGAAGGTCTGGAGTCTCAGCCCCTTCAAGACCTGTATGGATTTGGGCATTTTGCCCATGTAGGAAATGAGGGTGTAGCCAGAGTCCTAGTTCCCAGGATAGAGCCATAGGGATAAAAACAATTTAGGGATATTCTCTAAACAGCTGCTTCTCCTTTTTTTTTTTTTTTTTAAATTGAAACATCTCCAATAACATGTAATTTATTTCCCATCAGATATTGCTGTGTAGATGTATTGTAAACCAGCAGCTTCATGTTTCTAGTTTTAAACCATACCTTAGATTAGTGGTTCATTGCATGTGTAGGATTTCATACCCTTTGAGAATCTATTAAAAGCTATGGACGCTCTCCCCAGAAAACAGCATCACAGGCAGAATTCTGCATCCAATTTCAGGGGCTACACAGATGCCCTTGAAAGTCATGGGGAACCTATGATCCATTTCAGATAAAACTGAAAATCTTTTTTTCTAACTTTTCTTGGCCCAAATTAGAAATGAGCTAATTGATATTTAAGTTCTTTCTGTCCCCTAAATATTTGGATGCCTTGGATTTGCTAACTATACTGATCGTTTTCCCATTTTCAGAGAGATCTGGTGGTTGATAAGAATAGTACTGTTGATAAGAATTGTGACTTTTAGTTGTCACAGGTGACCTGTAGGTATCAGGATTGTTGTTAAGCCTTTTCTAAATGTCTGTTCTCTCTTCTTTCTGTTGGTTGGATACAGCCAAGCCCATCCGCCCCGGACACTACCCGGCCTCATCTCCAACGGCCGTCCATGCCATTCGAGGGGGAGGAGGCAGCTCTTCAAACGCCACTCACTACCAGAAATAAATACAAAGTGAGTCCCATGTCAAGGGTGGTTTCTCTATCTGGAGGCAGAGGGTTCTTGCCTTTCTAAAACCCCTGCCTGGCAGTGGACCTTCAGTAGAGAGGAGTTCGGCTGTATTCCAGCACACGCCCTGGGGGTTCCAGGTAAACAGAGACCCGACCTACCCTCACTCAGTCTAGAGCCCTGGGGTCTTCTAGCTGAGGCTGCCTGAGGCCCCTGGGACCTGGAGCCAGGCCGGGCCTAATCCCCTCCAGGGGTAGGTGTAGTGAGTGATTCAGCTGAGCTTTGTTTTTTTTTGCCTGTGGGACTCACCTCTGTAGTTGGCATCCCGTAGGGCATTACCCGTTTGTCAACTGCTTTTACCCAGAGCAGACAGAAGTTGGGGGTTGCTTTAAGTCTCAGGAACAGAATGTAAAGAAAGAGCCTGATAATAGAAGTGATGTTTTTATGTTTAGTATCTGAACTCAACAAATGGGGATTTTAAGAAGATACCTAGGTGGGTCCAGGGCGCTTTTTTCTTTGAGATGGTGGTCTGCAAGCTTCTCTGCCCACAACCCACATGCCCAACACTTCTCTCCCAGCAAAAAGAAAAGGAACGAGTGATATACTTTACAGAAGCGAAGAAGCAGAGAGCGAAAACTGTCATCCTGTGTGATGGAAACGGAGAAAAGAGGTTACTAGTTGGGCGGGCAGAAAGACTGCTAGGTGACCAGAAAACTTCATTTAGAAAAACTCTGACTTTGAACATGCAGATGGGAAGAGGTGGCTCTGAACATTGTCCTTGGACTCTGAGCCCTTGCTAGGGTAGCTGGCTCCCAAGGCAGGCAAGCATGTAAGGTGTGAAGCCTGGACCCCTCCTCATCCAGTCCTTTCTGCATCAAGGCAAGAAGGCGAGCAGGAGGGGCTGGAGCCATCACTCAGGGTCCTGTCATGGCCCAGGCTTAGGCTAAAACTTCCAAGGGAAATGCTTTGGTGGCTGTCCCCACACAACTTTCACTTGTGCTGCCGCAGGCAGTGCCAAGGAGCAGGCCAGGGGCTGGTCAGAGTAGTGGGAACAGGAGGGAAGGCGGAGGCAGCCCACGGGTGGGCAGTGTGCCTGCCATCATCTGCCGTCTTCTAGACAGGAAAATGGGAAATGGTCTTGGCAGTGGGCCACCCCATTCCTATCTAATCTCTGCTTCCTATCAGAAATGGAACGAAACTGGAAGTTAGAAAGTTGCTTTTGACTACATGTTGTCAGTATCGAGGCTGATACCTGAAGTGAACTCTGAGATCCAGCTGGGCAGCTTAGAACAGAAAAGCCTGAAGCAGTGGTCCTGGAACTTTGGTGGATGTGAGCATCCTTGAGCACCCAGAGGCCCAGGCTCCTTAGAGGAGGGAGGGCCTGGGTTTTGTTTGTCTTTTTAACCAAGTACTCCAGGTGATTCTGATACTCATCGAAGTTTGAAAACTCTCCATGGTTTATATAGGATGGCAGTTTACTTCTGTCTTATGTAAAGGAAATTGGAAGGTGGTACGTCTGTAAAGAATCTCCACAGTGATAACAGAAATCTAGCCTCTTAACTAGGTTAAGCAAGTGCCTGCCTCCCAAACTCAAGGCCAGCTCAAGGTCACCAAATGACTTCAGTTTCAGCCATCATGCCTACATTCCAAGTTTAGCAACCAGAGAGGAAGCAGAGACGAGGCAAAAACAGCCATCCTAAATGAATCTCCTTTAAGTAGCCTTCCTGAAGCCCCATGCAATGCTGATGCCTCCCTTTCCCTGGGCAGCACTGGGCCATGTGGCCACATCTAGCTGGAAAAGGTAGTCTTTTAGCTGGGCACATCACTGCCCCAAAGAAAGGTAATGCTCTTTGAGCAAGGACAGGGAGAGTGGATGTTGGGGTGGGCAGCTGACACACTGTGCCTTATGGACCACCTAATATGCCGCAGCACTGGCCTAGATGCACTACAGGCATCACCTCATTTGATGAAAGCACAGAGACATGTGTATGTGTGTTTCCCAGCAAGACCTTACTAAATATACTGGTCCAGGGATTCTGGGGCCCAGAGATTATGCAGTGGGACAGTCACCTTCTTCATGGGTTCCAACAAAGGTCTGCCAGTCCCATATTTTATGTAGGCTCCAAACAATCAAATGCTGGCCATTCATCACCAGTGTAGCCTCTTCTCATACAGAAGAGTGAAAATCAGTAGGTCTGGGGAGACTTTCAAGACTGTTGGAGTGACAGAACCACCCTCACCCATTATGGCTTTTTTTTTTTTTTTTAATTTTACTTAAGTTCTGGGATACATGTGCTGAATGTCCAGGTTTGTCACATAGGTATACACGTGCCATGATGGTTTGCTGCACCCATCAACCCATCATCATCTTTTTGAGATGGAGTTTTGCTCTTGTCGCCCAGGCTGGAGTGCAATGGCATGATCTCGGCTCGTTGCAACTTCTGCCTCCTGGGTTCAAATGCTTCTTCTGCCTTAGCCTCCCGAGTAGCTGGGATTACAGGCATGTGCTACCACGCCCGGCTAGTTTTTGTATTTTTAGTAGAGACAGGGTTTCACCATGTTGGCCAGGCTGGTCTTGAACTCCTGACCTCAAGTGACTCCCCGCACCTCAGCTTCCCAAAGTGCTGGGGTTCCAGGCGTGAGCCACTGCACCCAGCTGGCAATTTGTTTCTTTACTCAAAGTTTTAAAAGTGGTTTTGATGGATTTATCTGAATTCAGAGCCTCCTTAACACACCTTCTCCACATAGCTTCTGTAACTAGGTGCTTCTTTCATCAGGTCACAAAATAAACAGGCCCCCTCTTACAGCTCTCAGGATGGCAGTGTAGCTGAGGGGACTGGCATTGGACAAGGGACCTGGGTTCAGGTGTCAGGTCTTCTACTTCCTTCAAGTTACTTAACCTCAGAATCTGTTTCCTCGTCTATGAAATGGGGAAAATCTTTTATTTTGGTCATTGGCATTGACAGAAGGCTTAAATGAGGTCATGCTTCTAAGCACATAACAATTGCTCAATAAAAATGTTAGTTGCTAGTATAGATGAGCACTGCAGAACATCGTAGTTGATACATGTTGGTTTATAGTGTCCTTTAATTCATATAGTTGTTACTAAATGGTTTTTAGTTCCTCTATAGCAGTAAATCCTAGCCACTGGGTAGGGAAGGCTTATTTCTAACTGAGTATCCTAGTTGTTGCTATGAGCTGATATAAGGGCTTTTAAAGATAATATTGGCTGGGCATGGTGGATCATGCCTGTAATCCCAGCACTTTGGGAAGCTGAGGTGGGCAGATCACTTGAGGTCAGGAGTTCAAGACCAGTCTGGCCAACATGGTGAAACCCTTTCCCTACTAAAAATAGAAAAATTAGCTTGGCGTGTACATGCACACCTGTAACCCTAGCTATCTGGGAGATTGAAGTGGAGAATCGCTCGAACCCAGGAGGTGGAGGTTGCAGTGAGCCAAGATCATGCCACTGCACTCCAGCCTAGGTGACAGAGTGAGAGCCTATCTTATTTGTGTGTGTGTGTGTGTGTGTGTGTATAAAATTTACTTATCTACAAGCTATGACTATTTTTAAGAAATGACTGGGCATTTGTCAGTGGAGATTAAAAAGGGGTAGTAATCAACAGATTCAGGAATTGCAAATGAAAAGTAAAGAAATGCTAAATCATTTTTTGAAAAATAATTGGAAATATGGAATTCATTGCTTAGATGAGAGCAAAGCCTTTTTGAGACAGTCTTTCCTGACCTTTGGGATTTTCATTCTGAAGTGTCTCTTCCCTGGGTAGAAATTATCTCAATTGTGTCTTCCCAGCCCTCCTGTGGAGTCAGAGCACATATTCTTACAGCTGGATATCTTTGGAATTTCCTTCTGCTTCATTTCAGGGTTCAAGAATTATAGCCATAATGAGTATTTTGGTTTATCCTCAAGGTTTCAAAGCCAACGAAGATGCCAATGTACAAAAATCAAAAGAACCCAGGATAATGCTGGCTTTGATCTTATCTGGTTCAGATCCACAGGGGGCTGCCACAGGAGGAGATGATCTTTTTCAAACGCTAGAGCTACCTATGGGGCAGTGGAGTGCAACCATGTGACATCGGGCAGGTTGCTTGATTTCTGTCAGCTTCAGTTTTTCTCACCAGCCAAGGGGGTTCAGGCATCGAGAGCCTAGCTCTGGACTTGGTTTCACAGTGAATGAGACAAGAAGGCTCTCTTCTTGTGCAGTGATATGCTTGTTAGGGGAAAATGGACAGAAAATAAACAAGGTAACTTCAAGTAGTGGTAAGTGCTAGAAGAAAACAGAAACAGGCTAATGGAATAGGAACACTGTTTTAGAAGAGGGGGTGACATTTAAGTTGAGACTGAGTGATGAAAAATGCCTGGCACACAGCAACCTGGGAGAGAGTGGTTTGATGATCACTCAAAGGTAGGAATGAATGAGGGTTATTCGAGGAATGAGGAACGTTAGCAAGGCTGATAAGGCGGTACAAGGCTGATAAGGTGGTACAAGGCTGATAAGGTGGTAGCTCCTGATCTGGGAGAACCCATCTTCATTAGAGTGGATGGGGAGGGAGTTGGGCCCAAGTAAATGAAGGTGTTGAGACTGGGGGCAAGTTAGATTGTGACCTAGTGCGAGGGGTCACCAGGGCTGTGGGCATGGGAGCAGTGGGAGCTGGTTCATGATTAGACAGGCCACTCTGGGCTGGACCCTGGAGAAGGGGTAGGAATGGGGCGACAGTAAGCACTGGGGGTTGTCTAGGGGGTACCCTAGGTGGCCATGGGGAGGGGTCCGGTACCAGACCCAGGTGGTGGCAGCAGGGGAGAAGTGGCTCGAGTCAGTGCCTGCTTAGAGCTGATTCAGCTGTCAGGCTTACTGATGAGCGTTGAGAGCAAGAGGACGAGGAAGGAAGGGAATCAAGGTAGTTCCTAGATTTTTGTGGGCCCCAGCAATTAGGAGACATTGGTCCCTTTTTAACCATGCCAGGGGAAATCGGGGGATGAGCAGGTT